GAGGAGGTGGCGGTGGAAAACCCTTTGTCCAGGGGTGGACACACACACACACCGACAGAGACTCATACACACACAGACATAGATACACACATACAGAGACCCACACACTGCCCCAACTCACTCGACTTAACACTTCACACTGAACACTTAACAGATAACTCACACTCTGACTTCCTACGTGATGAAAAATGCTTTCGGGCCACTCGTCGTCTAGTTTTCCTACGAATCTTTTTGAACATTTCGAGAGCGTATGTTTGAACATTATAGAGTGCGTATGAAATTACATTTACGAAAGGTCGCCTCTGAGGGGAGAAATCACCATGTCGAACATTGCATTTTTGTTCCTGCCTCTCGCGTTCTCTTCTTTTCCCGCTGTCCTACCTTTCGTGTCTCGCTCCTCTCAAGTATAGCAAAGCAAAGGTTGCCAATCGGTCACTGGGTGTGCTCAGGCCCAACGCCTCGCAAGTCAGATAGGGTCACTGAGGGGAAGCGCTTTTTGAGCCTAGCAGCCTGTTTTGCACTGGACCAGATTCCAAAATTGTTGCCTGAAGTGGAGTTTTTAATTCCCTCGTTAGCGCCAGCGGGCGCTCTCCTTCTTCTAACTCCATACCCGGTTTGCGGCGCTCTCCAGCGGGCCTTGGGGAGCCATTGGTTGCTGGCTGCACTGGTTGCTGAGGAGAGGGATGGGACGGCGTGAGGGCGGCTTTGGAGAAGAAGAGGTGGCTGCCACAGCTCTAAGGAGACCCGCCAGCGTTGGACAGGTCTAGGGGTTTGGGCTGTGGGAACGGAAGATGGCGTCACAACCGGCCCTGGGGCAGTTTTGTGAGTGGGCGGCTTCTCGTATACAACCGGCTTTGAGACGCAGAACCCTTGCATACTTCAACATACTTCAATTAGTTCATACTATAGTTCATTTTGGGTCTTTTCTTTATTGGAGAGTCTTCAATCAGATCTTCTGCCAACTGATCGGGATGGTGTGGCAGGACTCGTAATTGAGGCCGCGGGCTTCTGTCAAGCCGAGTGTGAGTTTGACCTGTGGTCGGTTTCTGGACCAAAGAAGAATCTCTTCCAATCTGACCATTTGCGCATCTCGTTTTCTGTACATCTCGTAAGCCCCCTTTACTGGCACTTGGCAGTTTCGGAGGGTGGTCACGTGGAATGATGACACGGCCACATGCGAGAGCATGCTGGTCAGACCATGAACACACAACGGTCAAACATGTCGATTTCGGGCCAAGTCCTGCAACAGGTACTCTACCCTTGTTTATTCCACTTTCCATGGGCCACCAGCCGTGTGCACAGACCAGCCCACCCGCGCACGATGTGCATCCCCTCGCCGTGGCGCGAATGTGCCGCAGCTGAGGGGCGATCCCCGTCCTAAAAGGACGCCCCAAGGTACACCATTAGATGCGTGCTGGTTGTTTTCCGGCGACTGGTGGAGCAACTGCCGGGAGGAAGAGTCTTGCAGCAAGAGAAGGATTGATCTCTGTTTCTTCCAACATGGCAGTTGGGTGGGCCATGGCGGTTTACCATTTCTTTTTGTTTCTGAGTGCTTCTCTCCAAAAGACTCCCGTCCCTGCGCAGCGTCCAGTCTCCACGCCGAAGGTGCCGCGGAGACGGACGGACGGACGGACGGGGCGCAGTGGAAAAGGGTCGGGCTCGCGGTCGGCACTTCGGGAACGGGCTTGAAGTACTGGTCGGTTTGGGGTGCCAATCGTCTTTCTTCCAATCGGTTTTCATCGTCTTCCATTCGGTCCTCCGTTCGGGGTGTCACTGTTTTCGCCTCTAATGGGGTGATTCGGGGTGCCTTCTTGTCTCACCTATCACCCCGCCACACACCCGCCTCCTGTCGTCGCCGCGGCCACAGGACGGTCCGCCGCCACGCCCGCTCCAACGCAATGCATCGCAAGAGCGCGCGGAACGCACGGATCGAGCGGGGGACCACGTCCCACGCGCGCGGCCCATGCCCCCATGGGGGGGGTTCATTGATTGGACGCATGCCCCCATGCCGCCTCTCCGCTCCGCGGAGGTTGCATCCCAGACATGGCACACCAGTGTTTGCCAAGGACGGTGTGGGGGTCCAGAGGTGTGGTGCTGGTGCTCCTTCGATGGTCGAATCATTCGCACGTGCGTTGGCGGGGACACGTCACAGAGAAGAAAATGCTGACGCATCGATCTAGGAGACACATCTTGCATAACTGTGCCAGCACCGACTTCAGGTCACCAATTGAAACCTGTTAGGGCCTAAGAAATCCCTCCAAAGGAGACCTGTTGAGTCGGGTGCTGGTGGCTTTTTGTACGACTTTCTTTCACCGGCTGGGCCAAGAAGGCTGAATGTTGACCATTTGACCACCGAGAAAGCGTCGTGTAGAACACGTGATCTTCGAGAAAGCGCCACTCCGGCGGACCCACAGTCCGCGTGGGGATGCGAGCTGTGTGTTAGGATGCGAGAGGCTGTTCTCGACGTGGCACTGGGAACATTCTTTTTGGATCTTTTTGGGGTTTGTCAGGCCCTCAACCTAGCACTCCAAGTCCTTGTTCTTGTTCTGGGAGGGGGGAAGACACTGGTCCTGCATTTGCCTCATTGGTCACCCCTGAACGGCGCCTCACTTGTGCCAGGAGGCAATGGCTCAAGGAGCCCAGACACTCTTTTCGAAAGTGGCTTGCAAGTCGCGCCGGCCGCAGTTGTCCGCTTCCGGTTCACGTCGAAGATGCCGAGGTCAGTGAGCCCAGTGGGGTGGGGTGGGGAAAGCCATGGGAAGCGTGACAAGGGTGGCCCTTTTCGGTGGTTGGAGGCCCCTTGAACTTCCTCTACACACCCCAAACTCTGGAGGAAAAGCCGGTGATGAGCCCCATTAGTCGGTCCACGGAACACCTGAGCCAGGAAGTGGCCACGGGCTGCCGACCTGTGTGCGCGCCTGCAGGTGGGAATGTTGGACACTGAACCGAGAGGGGGGTAGAACAAGGGGACACGGAGTCACAGAGGTTTCGGTTTCGGTTTCGGAGATTCGGATTTGGAACCTGGTGGACATGATGTCTCCTTCCAAGCGTGCTGAGCTTTCGGGGGATCAAATTTCACTAGAAACACTAATTACATTCAGGAACCCAGGAGAGGTGTTGCAGCAGCACCAAGGCAACTGGCTGCAATAGTCTAGCGGTTCGCGGTTAGCTCGTGATCAAAGGCGATCAAAGGGTCAGGTGAAAAGACCACACCATTTCGGCCATCCTACCCTTGAACTCACGACAGAAAGGCCAATTTTCGGGGGAACTCCTCACGAATGACAGCACCCTCTTGAGTTCTCCATCCTTGATGGACATGAAGATCAAGGAAGGAATATCGATGAATGTATCTGCGTACTCTGTGTAAAGTAGAGTTCTTGAGTTCCTGTAATGTCATCAAACATGGTCAAATATCATCAATTGGAACAAGACCATGGGGTTTATCATGTCGTTTTTTCGCCCCCCACCATTCCATCGTTCCTGCGATTTGGTGATGGTCACTCTTGGGCTTCTTCGAGCCAGGAGTTCTGCCGCATCCCCGTGGTGATCCGCCTGCTGGGGGCCCCTTTCGCCGCGCCGAGCTTCGGGTGGCTTCGAGGACCGGGGAAGTCCTTCTTGTGACTATAGTTACTACCCAGACGCGACCCTGGACCCTGCTAAGTAGGTATGGAGGGGTCCGGACCCGAACCAATCCCTATGGTTTTGGGGGACCAGCTTCCAACAACCATTGTTTTACCTAAGGGTTTACACTACGCAACCAGGTCAACCTTTGATTAGCGAACAAAGACATACTAATAGCGTCCTTGCGTCCTTGCTGGTGAAACGATTCCCAGTGAAACGATTCCCAAGGACGCTTCTAGCTCCTAGTAGCTCTATCATAGATATCACCATTTGGGTACGGTGTTTTTTCCATGTGGAAAACCTTCGCACATAGAGAATCCCCATAAAGACGTGTCCACAGATTGGCTTAGTGGCGTCAACCGGGCGCCTGTCACAGGCTCAAACCAAACCTTTTTGTTTCCACAGTGACTCAAAAGAGCCATGCCACCGGCACCGGCACGGCCACCCAAACCCACGATGGCATGGCTGCCCTTATATTTTTCGGGTCGGTGCCGTGTCTTTGTTCCATTCCTTCCACGAAACGAAGGCCTTCGCTTCTCATCTGGCCTTCGCCGAGCGAAGGAGTGCCCATTCGGGGCCACCTTTGTTGGTGGATCGCGGTGGTTGGTCGTTCGTGCGCGAAGACTGGGGCGCCTGAGGCTGTGCAAGGAGCAGCCCCAAGGGGTGCGCAGCTTGGCCGCCAGCTCGTGTTGTCGGATGGTCTGAGACCGTGGAGCGTTCAAGGCTGCGGCTGCTTCCCATTCTGGGCCTCCGGCACCTGCGACGTCGGGAAGCTGTTAGGGGAAACGCCACGTGTTGGGACGACGTTGGTTCCAGATGGCTTGGCCAGAAGGACGGATAAGGACGATAAGGATGGGCTTGGTTGGAGAGAACCTCAAGAACCCCCAACAGAGGTTGAAGGACCTTATAGACTATCCCAGTTCGGTACCCCTATGGGGTCCTAGTTCAGGTCACTTAATACCTCTCTTAGGTCTCTTTATGTCTCTTTTGAGCGGGAGGCTTTCAACCCTCCTTCCCCAAACCCGCCCCGGCGGTTCCACGGCTCCGCTCCATGCCAACCATCCCGCGAACCGCGGGAACCGCAGTGGATGCCGCGGATGGGGGGACGCTGATGGCCCCGGTCGGGCCGACCCCTCAAACCACGCCGGATGGCGGAGGCAAAGACAGCAGCTTGCCCTTGGAGGTGCAGCATGCCATGAACAGCCAGCGGCGCAGCCCGGGACATGTCGACGAGCTGCTTGGGTTTGATCCAGAAGTCGGGGGGAGCGGTGGGGGTGTTGGGGTGTGTTAGGTTGAGAGCCGTAGGAAGATTTCTGTTGAGAATTTGTGATGGGGCAGTTGCAACCATTTGCAACCCCATCACAAACCTGTGGAACCTTTGGAAGCAAAGCAGGGACTCCTTGGTGGAGTTGAGTTGGCCTTGCGGGCCTTGCCCACTCGGACAGGATCGAACCCAGACCGAGCGGCGGACGGGACCCCGAGGCTTTTGCCATTGGACCATGCGACCTTCAGGGCGCTCCACAGCACTGGCAAGGATGGGGACGGGGGGGGGGTTGGGGCAGTTGGAGGGGGTGGTACCTATATAGATTGGGTCTGTCCATGTCTGTCCGAACTTACCTGTAACAGTCAAGTACACAAGAACATCACTATATGTTTTGAACAAGGCCTTTACTAACCATCTTCATCCACTTTTACAGGTACTAGGATAGACCCAACCTATAGACTCTAGAACATCCGTTTTTTGGGTGTCCTGGTGGAAGAAAAGCCACCTACCATCCCGGAGCCGCTCGCCGAGCCGCTCGCCGAGCAAGATGCCTCCAGGAGATCCTCTTCTCCACAGATGCCGAGGGTTGCTCGCAGGAGGCGAACGGAAAGGAGGGAGCTCCGAGCTCCGAGACACACACTTGGGGGTGTGTACTTAAAATGGGAGACGCCCGGGGCTTCTTATGAGATTCTTCGGATTGCACGGCCCAAAGGCTGGACACTTCTATCGGGTGGTGGCCACCCGATGTGAACGACCCCGGAACGAATCGAACGACTGAACGAGCCCCAGCTCGCTCTGGAAAGAATGCCAGAAGGCCAGCGAAAGGACGTGAAAGGGAATTGAATAGAAAGGGCTTCAAGATACTTGAAGGTATTTTCGTGAGGAGCTGGATCCATAGAGGAAGTTCCTTATGAATCCTTATGATTGTTGTGACACCCGGCAAACAAGACTTGTAGACCTTAGCCTTATGCCTTATGGATAGAGGGCCTGGGCGGCCTCCCCGTGGCCCGCTGTCCGCGCCTCTCCAGGTGCTTCACCCAGGAAGGTTTGAGCTGCGCTGCGACCCGAAAGGCACCTACGACAGGCACTGTGCTGCGCTGAAGAGACGACTCGCGGGACGGGCTGTTTGTCCCGGTGTGGAGGAGGAAAGGAATGGACAGGGAGAGGAGGAAAAGATCGAGGAGACGAACATGATCGAAACGCACGAGAGAGAGAGAGAGCGCCAAACGCCCCCTATCTTCAACGTGACATGTTCCATGGATCATGTAACAATCAGTTGTGGTTTCATTCGTTCATCGGAGGTCGAAAGACGCAACGCTGGGTACCTGGGTGCAGGGGAAGAAGGTCTACTAACGATCCCCACAAGTCGCTTGACCCAGGTCCAAGCCTGGTCTTTGAGCTCCGTAAAGAAGTCAGAGTCGTGCTTTTTGGGTGTGATCCACTCCAGTGATTTCATGAGGATCAGGTCAGTTCCTGTGCGGCTCCGGCGCTCCGACACTCGGTCGATGTTTTCTCACTGGGTGACTCGGTCGTGCAGGTTGGACCCTTGGTCCATCGAGGTCCCCTCCACCTTCGTGCCCTTGGAGGCCGGCCGACCGCTGTTCTCGATCGCGCCGTTCCGCGCCGCTCGTATTCTCTATTGTAGGTAGACTGTAGCCGTACTAAGCATTTGATCACTTGGAGTTGCAAGGGGCAGTGAGCATTTTTCTACTAGCTTCTTCCTGCAATCCTTCTCTCTTTCTCCCTTCTCCCTCTCTCTCTCTCTATGTGTTTAGATGCATGCACCATGTAGCACATTTCATCATATTTCGTGACTGTTCAGGCTGTTCAGGCCACCAAGAGCCTAACCAGGAACTCGCGTTCTTTCCCTGGCGCCACACTGGACGCCTTCCCAGTCGAGCGAAGCCAAGTCTCGTGGCTTCGCTGCCGGTTCGCCGGTTCGCCGCCAGTTCACGGTGGTGGCGAAGATGAAGAAGCGCTGCACCTTCCAAGTGGTGGATCATTTGAACAGGCCCCTTTTGACCGTGGGATGTGCCGTTTGTTCAGAGGTCGTGGGATCGCTGGAAGACTTCCTGTTTCCCTGGTGCTCCGAAGAGGGTGAGGAGTACAAGAAAACAGGGTCAAAGGCAAGCTTGCACAAGCTTGCGTGAGTGACATGAACATAGGGCGTGGCGCATTTGATCACTAACCTGTCAGGGATCAGTGGAAGCTTCAACCAAAACAGGTGGTCGGTGGTCAATACTTGCCAACCTGCAGCTCCCTTCCAGAACTGAGGATAGACAGACAGTTATACAAATTCTTCAGACGCTATACACGGGTGTACCTTTGACAGCTATAGCACGCAAGTCATGAACAGGTTTTCAGTTCTCACTCAGTCTTTTCGGATTTGGGCGGTGACGGACGCGGCGACGGCGAGGCCGGCCACGCTGTCTGGGCCTCCGACTCGGATGTTTGCCCCTTCTCTGCTCGTTGGCTAGCCCTTTTCGGCCCAGGCCATTTCACCTCGCTTTCACCCCGCCTTCTTTTTTGATCGGGGGACCGTCGCTGTCGGCTCTCACTAATGGCGTCCTTTGAGCAGATGGATGCGAACCGGGATGGTGTGGTCTCGAGGGAGGAGTTCATGTGGCCGAACTGCACGGGGCGTGGAGAACGGGCGCGGAATCACGCGAGGAGTCGACGGATGCCAGGCACCAGGCACGAGTCGGACCAGGTATACAGCACCTTCCAACAGCAGCATTTCGCCTTAGAGTTGCATCTTCAACTCTGACAGGATGGACAGCAAGTAGTCATCTTCAATTTTCTCAGATGTTCTTCTCACCCCATTCCCCATTCCCCGTTTTTTCACCTGAAATTTGGCAGCCCGGCGGCGGCGCAGAAGCCCATGCACATCTCCATCAGGCCGCAAAGAGGGAAAAGCAACAACCACCTCGTCGTGCGCTGCTAAGGTTTGGCATGATGGACCAGAATCAGGATGGCCAGATCTCCAGGGAGGAGTTTGCCGCGGCCATGCGCGCGCCCAGTGCGCCGATCCCGACCACCATGGCGCCGGGCACCATGACCTATGGGGCTCCAGGCCGGGACGGAGGTGCGGGGGGAAGAGCCAGTAGATCATGTAGCAGCCGCAAAGGCTCTACAGTGGTGTTGGTGCAGAGTGGTTTGGAACGACCATGGCTTCAGCAGAAACAAGCTCGCCAAGTTGGGCAAGTGTGTTGCCGACTCAGGTGCTATGCCTGGAGGTGGATACATTGTGGAGCCGACCACCATGCCACCCACCTACGGTGCTCCCATGCCAGCACCAGGCGTGACATATGCAGCACCCACCATGCAGGCGCCTCCTGTGACCTATGCGGCTCCCATGCAGTCCGTGCCATACACGGCCGCCACTACACAGGAGCCACCCGTGACATATGCGGCACCTGTGGCCCAGAGTGCACCAGTGACCTATGCCGCACCTGTCACCCAGGCCAGGGCGGAGGGCGAAGGAGGGAGAAGGACCGACCCTGGTTTTGCCACGGATGGTGTTGCTACCCCAAACACCACTAGGTGATGGTTTCAGATATGTTTATTTTCAACCCTCTGACTCAGATTTTTCAGGTCGAAAACACCAGACCTCGTTTTCTTTCGTTTTTCAGTGCGACGTTTCGGCGAGTTCGATGGTTTCAGACCGCGGTCCTCCGACACCCGTGTTCCATCCGTTTGGTCCACCCGGAGATCGGTGTCGAGACGTGGCAGGGTAGTCTTAGCCAGGACACCGGTCGGAGGGTCCAGGAGTCGTCGGAGGGTCGGCTTCCAAAGCCGCCCGAGGCGCCGATCTATGCGCAGATGCCACCCGTGACCTATGCGGCCCCAGCTGCACCGCAGCTGGTAGCACATGAAGCTTGGATGGGGCTCTTGAAGTGACACTTTTGAAGCATTTGATGTTAGTAAGATGTATATAAGAACATTTTAAAGAAATATATGCACAGTAGTTCTCTTTCCATCCTTGTGGAAGATCCTGGAACTACAGCTGCAAAAGCCATCCTCAAGTGCTGTTTCCCTTTGGAGCCATCCCTGAAATTCGGATGGACCAATCCCTGGACCTCCCTGGTCCCACCCCAGGTGACGGGTCCTATAAGGTCTCCTGGTACTTGGAAGGAGTTCCCACCGAACCGCCCCAAGGAAGGCACCACCGAGACAGTGGTCACCGCCGTCGCTGAGCCCATGGATGCAACGCTCACGACGACGGGCGAGCCCACGCCGGTGACGACCAACACCTTGGCGCTGCAGCCGAAGCCACAGCCCTTGCAGACCATGAGGGGCCGCCTGGCACGGCTGGGCGGGCTGCCTGGGCGGCTCCAAAAATGAGGGGCTGCCCTCCAAGGACTTCCAAAGGGTTGACCTGGGTTTCGTAGTCGAACCATGGTAGTCGCAGCGGGGTAGTGAAGACGGGTGAAGATGATTCAAAAGATGGTGGTTGGAATCGCGGGGTTTGTAGAACCGGTGGGACGCGCCAAAAACTGCGACCACGACCACCTCAGGTGGGGACTGGTGCCGAGGTTTTCAAGGATGGTAGGTGAATGTAGGTGATATGGTAAGTCCTGGCCCACCATTACATTGTTTTACTTAGAACTTAGTACGTGTTACACTACAAAACCAGGTCTCGCAAGGCAAATGGGATTGACGAAAGTGAAGTACAGTCTGTAGCAGGGAGCAGGCCCTCCAAGGGGCTGGTTGGCTGCCAACCGTTGAAACCCACTGGCGAAAGAAGGACACACTCCCTAAACTTCTATATAAATTGATCCTTTAGGGGGTCCGTTCCAAGTGGTTTCTGATTTCCTTTGCGCTCTGCAGCCAGAAAGGATTCATCAAGGCTCTCCCTCTTTGGTGCTAGAAGGGTGAACACATGCTCAACGGCAAAAGCGCCAGAAGATCAATTCCGTGAGCTTGAAACCGTTGTCCTTCATACTAGTAGGGCTTCCATAGGCTTCCTCTTCCAGGACCACCCCCCACGCAGTGAACATTCCTTCAGCTCAGGAAGTACCACACAGGTTAAGATCAACGTGGATAGCGTGAAGGACGCCGAGAAGGTGCCGCCTTTCCGGCCTTTCTTCGGGACACCGGCCCCCCCGGAAAAGGACGGCCACTGCCCGTGTGGCCGGGTGAGCCAACGGGGGGGAGGTTTCGCAGGCATTGTTGTGGGGGCTTGTATGACACATAGGGAGGGGCATCCACCGGTTTGAAGCCAAGCTGTTGTTTAAGAGGCTGGTCGAAACGCCCACTGCCACTCCCCCGGCCTTCGCCCACCGGCGCAAACGCGGGGGAGGTCTTGCAAGGCCACTGGGGTTTTGCAGCTTTCCTTCTTGTCTAAGAGGGTCTCAGCCTACTGCCCGAACGTTGGACGAGGCCTTCCTGGCGGGTGAGCACCGCCCACTGGTCCAGTCGGTGCGCGCGCAGGGGGAGGCCGAGCACCTTGGCGGCGAGAAGTGAAAGTCACCCAGAAATGGTGTGTAGAATTGCCCGGATGGGATTTGCATGCTTGATCCATCCACTCCGGATACCTATATAGGGAGTTTGTGTTCAAAGACCAAGACTTTCAGTTCTGGGATGTGTTCTGGGCATTTCTGGGCATCGTGTCGCGAGTCGGTGGGATCTCCATGTTCTGGGCCCCGACCTTGGGGACACTATGGGGCTCTGGAAGGCTCTGGAAGTCCTGGATCATGTAGAGACTTACTCCCAGATGGCCTCTCTGAACAAGAGTAACTGTTCATCTGAGCAAGACTCCCTAGACGTTTTTGTAGTGTAAAATCCCTACAGAATTCGGTAAAGCCTATTAAATTAATAGTTGTTGGAAGCCTAGGGAACTGTTCATCTGAGCAAGACTGTTTGTTTGTTTTGTCCGTGGGTTGCGTCCGTGGGACTCTGGAAGTCTTCACGTGGAACCCTTTGGTCTCCTTGATCTTGTAAATCTTCATTTGCGACCCGCAGATCTGCCTGGGGAGGCCTGCCTTGGTTGATCTTGGTTTGGTTGATCTTGGTCCCAAGCTGTCAAGCTGCGGCGAAAAGGAGCTGAGTTGGATGGCCAGGGAAGATCAACATGTGGTCCAGAGGAGTTTTCAGTTCCTACCCTGATACAGCGATTGTGGAGGATCCCAGATGCTGAGTTGGATGGTGGCGTAGACACGTGTTTGCTTGCATGATCTTGCCATGAGCCGGCGACCGACGCGTTGCTTTTGCCGCGTCAGACAGACCTCGCGCGAGACGGCGAAGAAGCACCGCGCCGTCTCGGAAACAGCGCAGTGGACGCCCAAGGTACATTGCAGGCGTCAACAGCGAGGTGGACGCTCCTGCACAGGTCACGGTGCAGCGGCAGCAGGAGATCGTGGCAGGCCTTGGGTTTTGGGGTTCAAGCGACGTCGTGAGACAGTCAGAGGATGAGGGGGATCTGGAACCTAGAGGGTCTGCTAACGTATGCTATTTGATTGTTAGAATTCCTCTTCTGTTTGGGCGCTCGACGTCTTCAACCCCAGATCAGGTCCGCTGATCCTTTTCGCACCGCAGGTCAGCTGATCCAAAAGGTGGTGGAGATCCCCACTGTCCAGGAAGTGGTGGAAGAACAGGAGGTGCCAGAAGTGCAAGTGGTGAACAAGATCATCGAGGTCCCACAAGCGCCTTGGCGCAGCTTAAGCCGCAACTGGCCCAGCTTACCCATAGCATGAGCCGGGGTTGGTCAAGCTCGCGGAGCGTGTCGGGCTTGTGCTGGGTGGGCAGTCCAAAATACACCGGTGACCACCAATGCCCAACGGTGGGCAGGTTGGCCTTGGAATCCAGCCATAGTAGCTTCTGGCTACTAGTAGTAATTCACTTAACTGTTACTAGTGGGGATTCGCGATGCACTTGTTGCCCGTAGCTTCTTGCTACTCAGAATGCAAGAAGTCTTATATAGATTATAGAATTTAGCTACGCAGGATAGACACCCATGCACTATAGACTCTAGACCTGCCGACTAATCAATACAGGGTACTTTAATAACGCTACGGTCTATAATAGTCTTAAAAGTTCCTTGGCAGCCCAAGTGTAACTGCACTTTCTCCCTCTCTTTCATGGCTCTACGACAGCCAGCCCTTGGAACTCTGATCGTTCTTCCGTGCGCGAAGCGGAGCGTTTGAAACGGCTGAGGTTCAGACTCAAGAAATCGAGGTGGTGCGAGAACAGGCTTCTTGACCTGAACCACCTGGGGACGGCCTGGGCCTTGTTTTGTTTCAGTTTTTCCGGGTCGACTGTGGGGGCGTCGCCCTCCGTGGAAGATGCAGAGGGTTCATTTGACATTATGGCTTGGTTTAGTTTGCTTTCGATTGGGACCCAACATCCAGGTATGTACATATATATATAAATATAGATATGTCTGTTAAATGTGAACCCGTGTTCCGGGATACGTCCAACGGACCTTCAAGAGACGGCCCCTCATCGGGACAGATCCTTGACATGTTCCAACATCTCACAATGCAGGCCATCGCACGGCGCACGAAGACGACGCACGAAGACCAGGTGGTTCATGTGCCCAAGATCGTGGAACAGAAGCGCGTTCAGCAGCGCACAGTGGAGCAAGTGGTGGACATTCCTATCCCACAGGTGCGGGGGGTGGCAGCTGCCAGGATGTCATGTCAGATATGTAAGTTCCAGCATTCGGTGGGTCAGAACCCGAGCGTTCGACCATCCTAGTTCGGTGCCCCAGGGTTGTCAGGTCACTGGCTACCTCTGTTGGTTTGAGGTCACTAGGCGTGTCACCGTGTCACGAATCCCTGGGCTCTTCGCTGCCGTGGCGCCGGAGCGAACGCCCAGAAACACGAGGGAACGCCCCAGCTGGCAGAGACTAGGTGTAGATGGGAACCTGGCAGATAGGCTTAGGGCTTACTAGGCTACTGAGCTAGTGATTTGCTCCGGTACATTCCTGAAACATCCAAGAGGTTGGGCACCGGTGTGACGGCACGCGCGATCCCGGGGCAGCACGCGCTCCCGCGGTCGCCACCTCTCAGGTGGTGGAAGAGATTGTGCACGTGCCGGTGACGGTGCAGCAAACCCGGAGGTTCCAACAACCGGTGGAGCAGCTCCAAGAGGTTCCCATTCCCATGACGCAGGAGGAGGCCATTTGGGGGTGAAAACGCGAGACCGAGAGGACGGGCCACGTTCAGGTGTTCGGAATTCGATGAGTGGAAGGGTGAGTCGAAGGGTGGTGGATGGGAATTCAGCTCTTGGTCAACTCAGGTGTTGGGAACTGAAACCTTCTCCCCAACTCTTAACCCTTCACCCTTAACCCTTCTCCTCAACTCAGGGTGGTGGATGGTCAACTCTTAACCCTTCTCCCCACGTCGTCATGTGGAAGACGCCCACGTCACCTCCGTTCCCCTGCTCTCCGCGTGGGACCGCGCGCGAGTCGAGTCGACCTCGGTCGCTGGCGGAGGTCGTGGAGGTGCCGGAGATCATCACCCAGGTGCGTGTGCAGCACCAGCAGGTGGAGCAAATCGTGGAGGTGCCGGTCCCCATGAGGGAGGAGGAGCGGGCCACGCGCCACGCGCCGAGAACGAGAAAGCGTGGCCAGAAAGCGTGGCCTTTGAGCAAGCGGAATGGAAGATCCACAGGGTGAAAAACTGCTCGCCATCTACTCAGCTCAGGCCACTTTTGGTCGATAGGGAGGGTGAAAACGTGAAACCTTGAAGGCTCATATATATAATGGCAGTGGGTCGAAACCTCACCCTACAAACCATGGGTTGTCAAGTTGACATCCATAGATCGAGGAACCAGTTCACTTAAACCCCCGGGTCAACCAGGGTTTCGGCACGACCGGTGGCTGAGCCCGTCTGTCAACGGCAGGAAGTGGTTCACGTGCCAAAGGTCATCACCCGAACCCGAATGCAACAGCAACACGTGGAGCAATTGGTGGAGGTGCCAGTGCCCATGACACAGGACAGAACTCAGAGTGGGTACATAATATAATTAATATAATAAAAAAAACACATATATATATAATTATATATATATATATTAATTATAGTAACCGTAACTCCTGGCAAGTGATCAAAACACTCTGAAGTGAGGACATCGGCGGTTTTTGTGGGATTTGAGCTTAGTTGCTGTGCTTAGTCCCTGTGGCATGGAAGCCCGGACGAGACGTCCAGTTCGAGACATCCGTCGCCAGGGGTCGTAGCCGGGGATGCAGCCGGGGGTCTCACTTCGTCTCCAAGGAATCTCACCATGGTATACTGAAGGCACCAGGTGATCAGTATCCCAGCAATCAGTTTCCTAGGGCTACTTAATGATTGATTTAGGAAACGCCGGCTGTTTCACTGAACTTCTACTGGCCCTTTTTGTACCCTCTTCCCTGACCCCACCTGACAAAGAGTTGCGCAGTGCAAGTGTTTAGAGGAAGGATCTGTCCAGTAGAGTTCAATTTGGCCGTAGCCGTTGCCCAAGAAACAACAGAGGTAATGCGTGCAGAGAAACATAAGGCAGCAGCCAGCAGCTGAAATCTAGAGTTAATCCAGTCAACTTTGGGAAACAGCCATGGAAGTGGTCTGCACCCTTTGGTCACAAGGGTGTTCACACCTTCCGACACCTAAGTCAAAAGCCCCTTTAGTCTCGGCTGCGAGACTTGGATGCTGTGATACGTGTGTGTATATATATATATACGACTGTATATACGATACGATCATTCGTTGGTAGTTAAAGACTTGTGGCAAGTCTCTCACTTTTGCAGGCCAAAGTTTCTGGTTGGCAGGCAGTTGGCGGGTCCTAAGCAGATCATATTGACATGTCCATGCGGCCAGTTGGCAGATCATCGGACGCCCTTCGAAGGGACGGAAGAGGCATCCAGCTGAAAAAGCGCGTGAAAGCGCGTGACAGCGTGTGAAAGAGAGAGAGAGAGAGAGGGAGGGAGAGAGAGAGTGTGTGCCGGCCGGCTCCGGCTCGTGCAGGAGGAAGTGGTGCACGTGCCCAAGATCATCACGCAAACTCGTGTGCAACAACAGCAGGTGGTGGAAGAGGTTGAGATCCCAGTACCCATGCAGGACACTTGTCGCAACGACGTCGGCGTCCCGGGAAGTGGCGTCGGCACCACAAAACACGGTGAAGCTCCAGCAGTTCCATGCGGTTCCATGATTGGGTGCCGATGATGGGAGGATTTTCGGGGGAACTGCGAACTGCTCACATCAGCTCACATCACATGGGACTGAAAGGTGTTCCGGAATTGGAACTTTTCTTTTTTTCTGTCCAGTTGTTTGGGGTATAGGGTGGGTGGGTGGATGGGTGGACGTTTATTTCTGGTGTTTTTAGATGCATCGTTGGAATGCTTTGGAGTTTTCATGCATGTCCACGAAGGGACCCGGCGAAAGCACCATGGATGTCATGGGTCCGTTCTTCCCGAAGAACCGAGCTGTTACTTAAGCATTTGCACACTATCAGCTCAACAAGCGACCCTCCCCCCCAGTTGTGAACCTGGAACAAAGAGCCTTCCAGCTTAGGCTGGAGACTTCCAGCCTTCGTAGAGGAAGAGGAAGCCCTGGGCCACCATGGGCCACCATGGGCCACTCACCATGCCGTGATCGCGAACGAGTGGATTCCAGATGGTCTTCGGTCGACTGAAACGGGTCGTCTGTGGAACATGGCCACCCAGGTTGGTCTTCTCGGCTTCGTCTTCGTCCCCGAGACCTGCCGCTAAGGAGGAAGAGGTCGTGCACGTGCCGAAGACCGTGACCCAAACTCGGTTGAAGCATCAGCAGGTCGGGGCTGTGATCGTTGTGAAGGACCACATGAACTCGTCAGCTCTACCCCCCCCTCAATTATATAGGCTCTTGGATGCCATTGGGATGCTTTTCGCCCGCCAATCCAACAAAAAACCGGTGCTCCCCAGCTGTACCATGCCATGCCATGCTACACTTATCCAGGCCACGTTGTCCGGGCTTTTTGGATCCCTCCACCGTGGTGCGTGTCGTTTTCGGGCCCCACATGTCGGGCGTGCACCCCGAAAGCTGAAGCTCACGGGTCGATGGTGGTCCCCCGGGTCGATGTTTGGGAGATTCTGGGAGTGCAAGACGATCAAAAGAATGGTCTGACTAGAGGAGCTGACAGGGAACTTCCTTTACTTCAGCCGGTCAAAAAATAGTCTTTGGACTTCTATAGGGGATATTTTTCCTTCAAGATCGCAAGGACATCAAATAACAAACTATGCAGGCACTTCGAGCTGGCAAACGCGCGCGCGACGTTTCGACCGCTCATTGAGTCTTGTGCTGAAGGAGGAACTCCTCCCTTTGAATCCTGAAGCCTCGGACTCTAGAGTCTCAGCTTGTGGGAACATACCCAAGGCACACCCTCCCCTTGTCCATTGTGAATCATTGAGCGCCTGGAGTCGAGCAGTTTTTTTTTTGCATTGTTCAATCTAAGACCCCTGTATATTGACCCCTGTATATTGACACTTGATTGACCCCTCTAAAGACATGTGAAGAACCATGGTTGGCAGGTGGAGCAGACGGTCGAGGTGCCAGTCCCAATGACTGAAGAAGAGGTGGTGCATGTGCCCAAGACCGTGGTCCAGACCAGTGTGACCCACCAACAGGTGGAGCAACAGGTTGAGGTTCCAGTGCCGATGCAAGAGGAAGAGGTGGTGCATGTGCCCAAGACGATCACGCAGACGCGGGTGAGGCACCAACAAGTGGAGCAAGAGGTTGAGATTCCGATCCACATGACTGAAGAAGAGGTGGTGCACGTGCCGAAGACCGTGACCCAAACCAGGATCAGACATCAACAAGTGGAGCAGGAGGTTGAGATTCCGATCCACATGACCGAAGAAGAGGTGGTGCATGTGCCAAAGACTGTGACACAGACACGGATCAAGCACCAGCAGGTTGAGCAGCAGGTGGAAATTCCAGTTCACATGCAAGAAGAGGAGGTGGTGCATGTGCCCAAGACCGTGACACGCACCCGGGTCTCCCAGCAGCAGGTGGAACAGACGGTGGAGATCCCGATCCACATGACTGAAGAAGAGGTGGTGCACGTGCCCAAGACCGTGACTCAAACCCGGATCACGCACCAACAGGTGGAGCAAAGCGTGGAAATTCCCATCCCCATGACCGAAGAGGAGGTGGTCCATGTCCCAAAGACTGTGACACAAACCAGGGTTCGACATCAGCACCTCGGCTGCCGCGTCCTGCCGCCGCGACCAGTCGCCACCTCGTCTCGCACCGGTTACCCAGAAGGTCATGTGCTCATGCTACCCTGGGGATCGCCCTGTAAAAGCCTTCTTTGGGGGGGTGGGCCTCGGGACTGACCGGCCCCGGTGGAAAAAGGATGACCAGGTGGCTCCGCCAGGTCAGTGATGTCGGAGCGGCCAAGACGGAGCGATCAGATGGTGCGATGGGCATGGGGCATGTCGGCGATCCCATTGGGGGCGAGGGGGTTTCTCCCACCCAGGTGGCCCCTCTGGTCATGTGGGCGATCCGTCAAGCGTGTGGCCGGTGGGAACGGCGATCTGGATCGTCATGGATGTTCCACGGGGCTTTAAAGGTCCAGTGACCCAAGGAAAAGAAGAGGATGCCGCTTGGGATGCCATCCGGGATGTCTAAGAGGTCCAGTACGTTGGGCAACACCTAAAGCAAAGGAAATGCCTGAACTCGGATCACCTAAAGACATCTATCAGCAGTCACATGTCGGGGTGCTTAATGGAGGTTAGGGGTGCCCAGCTACTCCACTCACTGGATGGGACTAAACACCACTCCTGGTAAAGACTATTTTAAACCTGCTCTCGTACTCGAACTGGACTTCGCTACCCCACGATGCTTCGTGCGATGCTGGATGCTGGAGCGATCCGAGGCAGGTGGAGCAGAGCGTGGAGATCCCAATCCACATGACCGAGGAGGAAGTGGTGCACATTCCCAAGGTGGTGACGCAGACCCGCGTTCGACATCAGCACGTGGAGCAGCCTCTTGCTCGAATGGCGGGCTTTTTGGGGGGCTTTCAGGTGGAGGGGGCCGGCGCCAAGATGAAGGACTTAAAAAACCACGCTGCCATAGTTTTAGGGGATTCCAAAAGAGCAATTCGATATGGTCTTTCTGGAAGAGCATCAAAGGGCCATTGCTACAAGAATTTGAGACAAAAAAGCCAGGTCAAGCATTCGTTCAATGGTCGAACTGAAGGCTAGGATTTTTCTTACGAGCGCATCGATAGCTGATTCGGCCTTCATTCATTGCATCAGCATTTCCAGGTCAAATCCGAACTCTAAACCTTAGATACGTATATCGTATATATACCGTACATCTTGATTTAGCCTTTGTTGATGTCCATTGCATCAGCGTTTCCAGTTTCAAGAGCTCACCGCCCCAAGGCTCGTGGAGGTTCCAGTGCATCTCCCCCCCAGCGCCGCGGCCGCCCGCGCGGGCGCCGTCGCGGGTGCTCCCCCCGCGGTGGCCGCCGGGCGCTGCGGCGCGGCGCCGGACCTGGCACCGGCGGAGCCCGTGGAGGGCGGCGGCGTTCAAACGGTGGAGGTACCGGTGCCCATGACGCAGGAAGAGGTGGTCCATGTGCCCAAGGTGGTGACGCAAACACGGGTGAGGCGTGAAGACGGAGAGAACGGGTGAAAGTGGAACTGGGGATTCCGTGGAGACGTCGTTTTTTTGAGAGGTGTACTTTTGACCTTTTTTTAGTTGCTTTTGGGCTTTCGTGAGCAACCTGGACAGTGGAAAACATTGATGGACCTGAGATTTTCACAGCGCTCCTTTGTTGTCGATGTGGTTCTTGGTTTGAACCTTCCTGAGGGGACTTGCCATGGAGAAACCCGCTTTCTGGTCAGAAGGGTTTCTAGCAAGAACCTGAGTAGCATTTCCAGACCATCCATGGGACTGGCCTTGTTTGGCCCCCCATGGCCCATTGGTCCCCCGAACCCCTGGGCTGATCGGCCCATATGGCGCAAATATGGCAGTCCATGGAGTGTTTGGGATTGAATCATGAGGGAATCGAGACGTTTTGACAGCCACGTAGGAGCGGGAGGAACTCGAAGGACTTCGGATTCCACATGGTCTAGACCTTCATCACGCTAGCCGCTAGCCTTCCAAGACCATTAAAAGGGAGGTTGACCTGGTTTTGTCGGGTAAATCATAGTACAACAATGGTTGTTCGGGAATCAGGCTCTCAACTCAATGGTGGTCGGAAGCCTATCAGTGGGATCGTTTGCAGGCACGAGCAGGTGGAGCAAACCGTGGAAGTGCCAGTGCCCATGACCCAAGAGGAGGTCGTGCACGTGCCCACTGCCGCGTGGCGGGCATCGGGGAGAAGGAAGTCCATTTTCCTGGTAGCAGATGGAACATCCCATTCCCCACCTATTTTGGCTGTCCTCGCTCACCGTGACCAGCCGAATCGGGTATGTGTTCTGAATGAGTCCACAATCAAGACACATTGACATGAAGTGCACAGACTTGGCCCTGTGATCCTCAGCAGCCAGACTGATGGGAAGCCTTTGTTCATTCCACAGGCTGCAATCAGAAAAGCAACAGCAGGACAAGCTTTAATGTAGACTCTTGATCAGTAAAGGGCACCCTCATTTGCATTGTAGAACCCCTTCTGATGGGTTGTGCCCATCAATCACGAGTTTGCATTATATAACTATAGACCCCTTTACCACCTGACCATCCCACTTGTACCTATTCAAAACCACCAGGGCAACCATTGAACAAATATGAACAAATGGTCTTGGAATTCCAGGGCATTCGCTTGTGGACTTTTGGCTGTTCCTTTTGATTCCCAGTTTTTTTTAGGACTTCCGTGCCCTGGGATGCCCGTAAAGACAGCGGTGAATCTTTGGTGCGAGCTGAATGGACTGAGTGAGCCGTCAGGAATGACGGTGGCGAGATCTAGAGAACATCAGACCATGTCCAGACAGGACACAGAGACAGGATGGTCCAGGTAGCTGAAGACCCCATTCTTTGGTTTTCGCTTGGCTCCAAAAACCTCCGTCCTCGGCCGGGGGGATGAATGTCTTCGAACGGCGCCAGCCGGCACCGTCGTGCGTGCTTTCGTTCAGGTCATCCAGCAGGAGCGTGTGTCCCATGAACAAGTGGAGGACGGACCCGAGTGGCGGATCGGTGGGCGTCACGGAAAATGGAAGATAAGCGGTCGGTTGATCTGGTAGATCAGTGGACTAGGGAAATTAGGAATATAACATGAGGAATTCTCCCTCGGCGGAACTCCGTCAGCCTATTGAGACTATTTGAGACTGGGATTTGTTGTCGACAGAGGCCTTTCTGGTGAAAAACACGGGGGTTTCTTCACCTGTCCCGAAAGCTGGAAGAAACACATACCTCCCAGGAGGACGTCCCGGAGGCCACAAGACTAGCTTGTAGTATCTTGTAGTCATGGTCTGACCCGGCCCGACAAGGAACTTCCTTCACTTCGGTTTTCTACTCGTCCAACTGGACTTACGTTGGGGCGGAGTTGCAGGATGCATCCACTGTTGCTGGCGCTGGAAACGCCGCCCCAGGATTCCAACCAAACTTGATTCACAGAAGCCTGAATTGGCCTGAATCATGAACAACCAGGCTTGTACTAAGGATTTCGTCCCTGCTCCGAGATCTACTCTTTTCCACCTGCTCCGAGAATCACCTCACCTCCAGTGCCATCGCCTCACCACCGGCGCCCCAGGAGACGGTGGAGGTGCCGGTTCCGATGACCGAAGAGCAGCTCAGCGCGTTCGGGGTCCGATGGTGGGCGGAGACACCCAAGGGGTCGAAGACGGAGACTTCGGGGAGGACAGAAATGGCCACCAGGTGTTTTGGGTCACGATGTGAGCAAGGAGTTCTTTTGTTGTGCTGGAGAAGTGGTCCATCAGCAGGAAGGCCCTAATGATAGTCCATGAATCTGGGCCAGTTGATCCTCACTGAAGAGTGCATGCCAGTAATTAAGTCAATGTTTTCTCCACTCACCCCGTTTCTATCGGAAGCTCGATGACTTTTTCGGTCCTTCTTGCTCCGCCCTGAACCCGTCACAAAACCCATCAACCCGTCGGACGCGTCACTGTCTTAGGGCCTGTCCGTTCGCTCTCAGGAAGGTGGTGCATGTGCCGAAGGTCGTGGAGCAGGAGCGGCAGCACCACTTCCATGTGGAGGAGGTCGTGGACGTTCCCGTCCAGCAGCAGGTGGAGACTGTGGTGCACGTGCCTGTGGTCAGTCATTCGGCATATGTTTCAGTCGTGCCGGACGTGCCGTGACGTGCCCAGTCTTTGAGTCTTTGAGTCTTGGGGGGGTCCTCCATGCCATCTCAGAATCTCTTTGAGAGATTCACGTCTCTTCGCTTTGTTTTTGGATCAACTGGGGTCTACTTTTGATCAACACTCCACCGTCTCTTTGACCCGCGGGCGCTTTGTTCGGTCACGTTTTCAGCAGTCCCTAGCATGACGAAGACTCCGGTCCGGTTCAGGTCCCAAGGCAGTGCTGATCCAAGGCAGTTCCACCACGCGTATGGGTCCCTTTGAAACTCCCAGCACCTTCAAAGGGGTCAAGGGACCTCCATTGGAAACCCCTTGTAGGTCAAGGTCTCCTGTCATCAGCTGGAAATATGTATTGTTTGACATGTGCAGACACAAAACATGAGCCTAGGAGTCCAGTTCGACGATATCTTGCACCACTGAAATAAAGGAAAGAACCCTTGACTCGGGTAACCGAAAGACCATTCTTTCAATGGTTTTGGACTTCCAGGGATGATTTATGTTTGCATCTACTAGCACGGTATGAGCTCAGTTTGTTGGAGCATGGGCCCATTTTTGCGATCGGAGAGCCATCTCACAGACCGCCGCCGCCGTCGATGGAGGGGCTGGTTGAAGCGCCGTCGCCCAGGCAAGTTGGAGCGCATCATCCACAACCCGGTGGATTTGGAGGTGGAGTTGGATGGCACATCAGAAGAGACGTTCATGACAGATTTTGGGTGCGGGCCTTCCTCTATTTTTGAGGTTTCACTTGGAAATCCTATATAGATGATACTATAGACTATAGATCCATTTTAGATATTTTTAGATCGATGTCGATTCCATCAGTATATCGCTTTCCTAGTATGCTTGGGAGACTGCGGCCGGTGTTTCTCTACGGTCTTCTTCTCTTATTGGCGGTAGCACTTGTGAGGCCCGTAGTCCAACGTAATCCCGCGTAGCGGACGCTGCCAGTGGACTCGGAAGCAGCTTCCACAGGTTTCGCCGCTGGCGGGGCAAGGTTCGTCGCTAAGACTTCAAAGACAGCAGAGAGATCACGCAGTCATCTTCAAAGGATCATTTGGACCAGGAGGTGGTGGGGGCGTGTTCAAAACGATCTCCCCCCATGTATATCGTCTCCAAGTTGCCCCACCGTCATCCCCCCCAAAAGACCAGACGGACCAGCTCGTCCGCTCCAGCTCGCCCGCCGTCCGCCTACTCAGCGCGCTGCGCTGCGCCCTCGTGCCGCGGCAGGTGGAAGTGCCCCGGCCCATCGTCGTGGAGAAGTGCATCGAAGTCCCGAAGATCCAGGATGAGGGGGGGGGGCACCGCGGCACCGGTGAGGCACCGGTGAGGCACCGGGCACCCAAAAAGACGGTTGATATAGGACATGGGAAGCGCTTTTGTCAGCTGGTGTGGGTGGGAACAGGTGGACTTGTTGACTTGATTTCAAGTCTTCATGTGAAGAGGGTGCAGGAGCAGGATGGTGCAAGTGGGTCCCGAGATCTAAGGTCTCCATGTCCATTTCGAGGCTCTAATCCACCTGCAGAGTACTTTCCATGGGTGTCCAACCAGAGACTTATGAGTATAGTGTAGGGTTGTCGATTTGGGGAGCGAGTTCTGGTGCATGTTCTGGTAGGAGTTGCTTGACCATTCACCAATATCTACAGGAAACCGATCCTTTTTGGGGGTTAAGCTCATCTCCATTCGATGGGATTCGTCGGCCGTCCACGGATCTGGCGGGTCTCCGTTGCCGCGGCGGTGCTGTGTGGGTTCCACACGGCGCAGGTGGAGGAGAGGACCGTGCGAGTGCCGAAGATCGTGAACACCGCCGCGCAGCTGCAAACTGAGCAAATTGAGCGGCAGCCCCGCATGCGCCCAGCGCGCGCTGGGTACTTCATGGGCTGGCCAAGTGCTGAAATTGATTCGGCATGGCCATGCATGGCCCCGCATGGCCCAACAAGGGGGATCTACCATATGGGTGTCGTTTTCACACTTTGGCATCGCTATTGAACAAGTTTGAACCGCCCACATTGCGAGCATCTGCGAGTCGGCTTGAGCTAACCAGGTGGTGGATCGCATCGTTCAGCATCAGATCGAGACGGTGGAGGTTGTGAAGCCCACGGTGGTGCACAAGGCGCGCAGGTCGATGCTTGAGGTGGTTGGTGTGGGGGAGGAGGTGCATGGCGCGGTGGTTGGTGGTTTCGGGGTTTTGAGGTGTCATATTTTGCGGTTCGTTGCTTCCAAAAGAGTGAAGGACTATAGACTATATAGTGACTAGAAGATCCACTTCTTGAAGGGTCCAGTGAATTCTGTCAGTGGGTCAAATCGGTTTTGGTGTGGCGCGCGGTTTCCGCCATGAGCGGCCTGGTGCCGGCGCTCCGAAAGCCAGGACACCCCAAAGGACGGCCGCTTTCGGAGAGCTCCGAAAGCGCATGATTCTAGCCCTGGAAGTCCAAGACTACGTCTGGTGGAACATCCTCAGTACTTACAAAGGGTGGTACGGACTCAGGACCATTAAAGGTATGGTGGTTGGAAGCCTAGGGCGGGCTAAGAGTTACTTTTCGGATGCTTCGATCAGACCCTTCAGACCACCCCCCGAGGAAGTCGATGCCCTGTCGCAAGTGCGCAGTAATTCGACTCTTGAGCCTCAGACCATTTGGATCCATTTGGTCCAAAAGCGTGGTTTCCATGAGTTTCAAGCCAGCCAGATGAAACCATGGCCAGTAACCATGCTCCAAGATTCCGACGGTTGACCCACCTGAAGGTTTTCGGGCCACAGGCCTTTTCGGGCCAGGCTTCTAGGGCGCTGGATGGCCCACTCCGTGGGTCGACTGGTCGCCGCAGGTCGTTCAGAGGAAGAAGCCCGTGGTGCAGGTGGCCCGAACGCAGGTGGCCCGAGGATCCGGATCGTCCCATGAAATGGGGTGGTTTCCTGGGCGGAACTTCCCACATGTGCTTTATGGAAATTGGGTCGTTGACGTCGTTGGTCTCATCACATCTGAATTGTGCAGTCCTGACGTCGTTGGACCCAAGACCACTCATAGCAGAGGCTTGAGCCCAGGCAAGGCCAAGGCCACCTTCTCTCGCAGAGACCCATGTTCCACCGGACGCCGGCGCGCCGCGCTGCGCTGCGCTGCTCCGTGCGCTGCGCCTCGCTGCGGTTGGCGCCGGCGACGCCCCGTGGGCGCCATGGGTGGATGCTGGGCGTCGCCGCCGCCTTGGCCATATCGGTGGGCTGTAAGCGGCGGGTGGAGCGGCTCTGGTGTGCACCGCAGGTGTCGAGCGGAAGGACGCGCGGCATCGCCGTGGTCACGGGAGGATCGCGTGGAATCGGCGCGGCCATTGCAGAGGTCTTAGCCGCGGAAGGTTATGCGGTGGCGGTGAACTACAAAGGCTCCGCAAAAGCCGCTGAAGAGGTTGTGGCCAGGATTCGGGCCGCTGGCGGGGTGGCCTGTGAATTCTATGCAGATATGGCGGTGGAAGAAGATATTGTGAAGATGTTTGATGCAGTGCAGCGAGCTTGGCCGGATTTGCCCCTATCAGCTCTGGTGAACAATGCTGGCATCAACAAGGCAGGATCCATGAAGCACTTTTCGGATTTGGGAGCACTGGAGACCTTGAAGGTCCTAAAGAAGGAAGCCTTTCATGAACTTTTCGATGTGAACGTCTTCGGCGCCTTGATCGCTTCCCGCGAATTCGCCTTGCGCTGCACGTCGGGGGCCATTGTGAATATCTCCTCCGGGTCAGCGGTTCTTGCTGGCACTGGGCTGTATGGGATGACCAAGGCGGCCATGAATAATATGCAGAGCTGGCTGGTGAAGGAGCTTACTCCTCGAGGCATCCGGGTCAACAGCGTCTCGCCAGGCCTCACTCGGACTGACATGATTGCCCCCTTCTTGGACACCAAGCCGGATTTGGGGATGATTCCGATGGGTCGTGTTGGCGAGCCGCAGGAGATTGCAGAGGTCGTGGCCTTCCTTCTTTCGGAGAAGGCGTCGTATGTCTCGGGCGCCAACCTCAGAGTAGCTGGAGGCCGTACGCCAGGCAGCTTCATCGGCTGAGCCGATTTGGGCCAAGGTCACCAAGAACAGCGCATGATCCACCCTGGATGGGTGTTTAAAAGCGCTCCGATATGATCGGGTCGGTCTCCCTATTTGAAGACCTGTGAAGGCTCCATTTTAGTTCTTCGCCCTTCGCCTCCTCAAGGGCACCGAGCCCCAGCACCCTAGGCAAGTCGGCTAGGGTGTTGAACAAGCCCTTTCAAGATCACTTCAGACTGGTTGGCCTGCAGGGGTGTTGTAGTCTAAAATCCATCGCGCAGCACTGGTTACGATGGTTGTATGATGTTGTATGGTAAGAGCCACTTAAACCAATGGCGCGTGCATCTTCTTCACTTCGCCGGGTTTTTCGCGCGAACGGTTTTCACGCGCCGGCTGAGGAACGAGTGCAACACGTGCCCAAGGTCATGGTGCAACAAGTCCCCGCGAGGACCCCAGCGGAACGAGGGGAGCGAGCGGTCGACTGCAGTTTGGTGGACAGGGAGGGGTTAATGCATGGTATGCGGGTATGCCGCTATCATGCGCTGCCTTCGACACATGTCACATGACGTTTCCAATGTCCTCATGCATTTCTTTAAAGGAATTTTAAGTGGGGGAGTAGGCAGATGTAGGCAGATAGCCGTGATAGATCGTGGTCTCTCGCAGGATGTGCCCGGTGTGTCTGCCCCAAGTTATGGGGGATGCCTCCCTCCAGATCAGCCGCCGGGTCTTTCTCACCCAGGTGGAGAAGGTGGTGGAGAGACAGGTGGAAGTGCCTCAGATCCAATATGTGGACGAGGTGGTCGACGTCCCCATGGTGAAGCACCGTCACGTGCCCACCGTGGTCAAGCAGACCAAGGACGGTTTCTTGTTTCTTCTTTTTGGGCGGCGGCAGGGTTCACTTCTTAGTGGGAAGTTTTTGTGCAGATCCATGTGGAATCAACCTTCTCAGGGGGGATTGGAGTTAGTTGGAGCCCTACAGTAGGGACTATTTGCCCCCTTTCCATGATCCGAACACCTGGGGGAAGTCATGCAGACTCTAAGCCACTCGCATGTGGGACAGACAGATGTCGTCTTTCTCCGCAAACTGGGTGGCTTCGTTCAGGTCGGAGAAGTTCCGCCGTGGAAGACAGCGGGAGTTCTCCCTGAGTTTTTTCTCCTTTGAGAGAGACTCATCAGGGATGAAAGCTGAAAATGAGGTCTACAAAAAGAGGCTGCCTTACACGGCTTGCACGAACTAGGCTTGAACATCAAATGTCTTAAATGGGCCTTGCTTGCCACAAGAAGCACATGTCCATCATCATCGCCAGCCACGGATGCCGTGACATGCCATCCGTGGCGTGAGTTCGGAAAGAGCTTCACATTCCGCTGCTCCTCTGGTGGGCTCGGTGGATGCATGGGCCCTCGGTGGATCCTGGGGCTTCGAAAACAGCGAACGACTTGTGCTAGAGCACAGGGGCTGAGATGTCAGGCATTGATATGTCGGGGGACTGGATCATGATTATATAGCTACTACAGTTCGTTGATCACATTTGTTGTGGACGTTGAGGGGGGTCATTGGCCATGTTCCACTTGCATAGCTTTGCAAGTGCCGCATTTCCTGCCCCATATCCTTAAGCAGTCGTATAGTCATGCTTAAGCAGATGTCATGAATTCCATATGCCCATATGCATGCACACTCATTTTGTAACGGCAATTCCTTACTAAATGGGATCCCCAACCCAACCTTGTTAATTTTAACGGGGATTGAAGTCCTTTGATATTGAGGACGACGGTATGGCCCCGAGATGGACATCATGTCCAACCATGTCCAACACTTTTCTCCAAGCACATGCAGTCTTGCACTCCATCTCTGGGTTTGCAGCCACTCAGACCCTTGTTTTTCACCACTATATACCGAAATGCTTTTGGCCCACCTCTTCCAGAGCCGGACTATCTGTCTCCCCCGCATCGATTTTGCGCTTGCGGTGCGAACTTCCATCACTCAGCTTGCTGCTGCACCTACTGTGCCCAAACCATCCCTCACCAGGAGGTGGAAGTTCCTCAAGTGGAGTACGTGGACGAGCACGTGGAGGTTCCAGTCATCAAGCAGGTCCACGTGCCCACGATTCAGAAGGTTCAGCGGACGGTCAAGGTGCCACAGATCCAGTGGGAGGATCAGAGTCTTGGCTCGGTGTGTGTTTTTTGGGGGTTGCAGGAGGGGCTGAGATGTATGAGATTGCCCTACAAGTCAGGAGCTGACCTCATTTTACTGGAGATGGTCATATAAAGCCAGTACTCAAGGAGGTCAAGGACAAGGTTTAACTTGGTCCTTGGACTCGTAGGGATGTCTGAAAAGTGCTACCCTGGGGCTCCAAGTACCTTCTAAGAAGGTGTTTGGGGTGGCTTTAGAGGGTCCAAATATGTCCAGTCATACCTTCTGAGAAGGTACGACTGGAGTCCTAGGGCTAGGATCTTCGAAGATTCGATGCCTGGATTTATTCTTTTGGGGGGAGTCCTGATGTACAACAAAGGTCCTTCGGGACTTCAGGCTCTTCAATCGTGGGCCGGGAAGCAGGGATCTGTCATCTGTCGTCATGTGCGATGCCCAAACCAGATCAGCGGATTCACTCGGCAAGGCGCACTTCGACGCACCCAGTAGGCATTGCATGGAAGCCCCCATGTCCGTGGCGATGCAGCGGTCTGTCCCTGGCTGACAGGCCCCGAAATGGTCCGGAGATTCCAGCCCGTAGCGTCCTTGCTCCGTTCGTCGCGATGCACTTTGGTTCCGTTCGTAGCGGAACGGCCAGGAGTGCCCCGTCGCGTCCGATCGCGCCCGATCGCTCCGGCAGAAGGTGGGCCGCTTCGGCCCCCTGAATCCATCCCTAAACTGGGGGGAGATGTTTCGGGGGTCAGGCGGCCCCGAAGATTCCGCGAGTCACGAGTTGGACATGGGCAGCCGCAAATCTGGTTTCTTTTTCTCCTGCGTCATCTATATATATAGGATTCTTTATTTTATTCTTTTTATATATATATATATATTGTTTGTATATAGTTATTATATTCTATACTACATCTTTTATTTTATTTTTTTTTCTCTCTCTCTCTCTCTCCCTATCATCGGTCTCCGTTTAGTCATCGTAAGACCAGAGTCCCTCCGCAGGTCTTCCCCATGGGTTTCCGCAGGTTGAAACCCCCGACAAAGGTCGTCCGGGAAGTCGTCCGGGAAGTCGTCCGAAGATGGCAAGCGCCTTTGGTCGAGGATTGTGGAGGTGCCCGTGACCAAGCAGGTGAACGTGCCAGTGATTGAGAAGGTGCTGTGTAGGGTCACAGCCGCTGGTCCGCCTGCCGACGACAGCCGAAATCAACAGCGGTGCGCCGGGGCAATCCATGGGATTTCAATGGACCAACACCACGCCTGGAGCATGAGCCAAAAAATAGGAAAATGCATGAAAATGCCTTGTAATTACTACGTCCAGCTCAGAAAGTGGTGCTGTTATGATTTGTTGGCAGGTAGCTATCACATTTAGAAGCGCCGGTAGTCACAGGTAGTAACGGGTAGTCGGTCGTTCTTCTTGGTCGCTGGGGTTTATGTATGTAACTTGCACGCAAAATCTTGGAGGTGCAGAGGATTGTGGAGGTGCCAGAGTTCCAATACGAGGATCAAATCGTGGAAGTGCCAGTGGCCAAGCAGGTCCATGTTCCGATGGTCCAGAAGGTTCAGAAGAGTGTGGATGTGCCACAGATCGAATATGAGGACAAGGTGGTGGAAGTTCCCGTGCAGAAGCACGTGCGTGTGCCCATGATTCAGAAAGTGCAGAAGATTGTGGATGTGCCGCAAATCGAGATCGAAGAGCAGATCGTCGAAGTTCCTGTGGCCAAGCACGTTCAGGTGCCCATGATTCAAAAGATTCAGAAGATGGTGGAAGTGCCGCAAGTGGAGATTGAGGAGAAGGTTGTCGAAGTGCCCGTCCGCACCAATGTGCAGGTGCCCATGATTCAAAAAGTGCAGAAGATGGTGGAAGTGCCGCAGATTGAGATCGAAGAGCAGGTGGTCGAGGTTCCTGTGCACAAGCACGTGCAAGTACCCATGATCCAAAAGGTTCAGAAGATGGTCCACGTGCCGCAGATCGAAATTGAGGAGCAGATTGTTGAAGTGCCAGCGGTGAAGCACGTACGGGTACCTATGGTTCAGAAGGTGCAGAAGGTGGTAGACGTTCCTCAAATTGAGATTGAAGAGCAGATTGTGGAGGTTCCCGTGCAGACGCACGTTCAGGTGCCCATGATTCAGAAGGTTCAGAAGATGGTAGATGTGCCGCAGATCGAATACGAGGACAAGGTCGTTGAGGTCCCAGTGGCCAAGCATGTCCATGTGCCAATGATTCAAAAGGTCCAGAAGATTGTGGATGTCCCTCAAGTGGAGATCGAAGAGCAAGTGGTCGAGGTTCCGGTGCAGAAGCACGTGCAGGCGGTGGGATTGGGAAGGCTGTGCATGCGCGCTTTGGGTGTACCTTCCGTGAACATGTCATGCAAGGGAAGCATATGCACCTGAAAGACCCTTGCTCATGGGACGGCGGGGGAGTGTAGACCCAGCTGCATCATGCCACACCCCCAAATTGCATGGCTCCCCAGCCAGCCAGCGGCTCTTTGAAATTCTTTGAGTATGTTTGGACTATGTGGCTTGCCCAATGGACGGCCGTTATGACCTTCATCTGGGGTAGTTCAGGTTCGTCAAGCTCTGGGAGAGAGCGGTCCACCAACCCGGGGGGCGAACCCGGCCCCTATCAATCCATGGGGTTTTCGTTTTGTCAGGTGCCCATGATTCAGAAGGTTCAGAAGGTCGTGGATGTGCCACAGATCGAGATCGAAGAGCAGGTGGTTGAGGTTCCAGTGGCCAAGCATGTCCAGGTGCCCATGAGTCACGCCGTCAGGGCCACATGAAGAAGAGAGACACCGGTTCTGAAAGCAAAACCGTGTAGTTTATTAAGTGTAGGAGTTTAGGATAATTTAGGCATGCTTAGGACTTGTGTAGATGTTCGCCTCTCATGCATGGAACCTCAAGTTGGGATCCAGCCGCCGGATGATGGAAGAGGATGTCACATACTTCCCTTTCCTTCCTGGAACATACGTGCTACATCCACCCTGGCCCTAGCCTTCAAAAGGATAACTGGCTGACGTGGTTTTGTAAGGTCAAATCCTTAGTCGCACAATGGTTGTTCATGGTTGTTTGGCATTCAGCCTGTTAAATTGCTGGCGGTTGGAATCCTAGTCCTCATTCAATTTTCAACATCTGGCCCAGTTCGGGGTGAGGGCCTCTTTTCCTCTTTCTTGCAGAGGAGTCAGTTCAGAGCTGGACACTTTTCGGGACCCAAACCGACCAAAGGGCCAAGCGCCCAAGCAGCTCGTTTTCGGGGGCATGCGTGCGTGGCACAGCTGGCAGATGCGCAGGTGCCCCTGGTGACGAAGGTGCAGCGAAATGTGGAGGTTCCTCAGGTGGAGTATGATGACCAAGTGGTCGAAGTGCCCATTCAGAAGCAGGTGCACATTCCCTTCCAGCAGGTGCGGACCCGCGCGCGAAACGTGGCTTGCCATGCTCCAAACATGTGGTTCGACCAGGTCCCTTCAGGTGGCAGGGGGAGGGGATTCCGGCTGACTGATCAGTGTTTTGGGTCAGTGCATTGTGTGCGTCAACTCCTCTTTTCCCCTTTAAAGCGTCCAACTTTCAGAGCTGAGCTTCCTTCTTTCAGAGCTTACTTCAAAGGCCGAGAGAGCTCTGGTCAGAGTTTGGCTTTCCTTCATCTTTCTTGGGCACATGTGGGTGGCAGACAGCATGCCAGCCTGGTAACCTGTGTTCAGCTCGGCTCCGTGTGCTCGTGTAGCGGCTGCGGAGGAACAACTGTCACCAGGTGAAAGACACGAAATCACACGACGTTGCCACGTGGAACCTGAGAATTGCCCCGTGGAAGGCCCTTTTCCTGTACCACCTGTCCGGGGGTTTCCGGGTTCCATGTTCACCTGAAGGAAGGAGCAGACTCCCGCACACGACCCAAAGAGAATCGATAAATGGACCTTTGGATGGTAATGTTCGACAAGCGGGTGGCTGTTTTCCGCGGAAGCGCAGAACGGAACTGCGACCCTGATGAGAGCTCAGATCTGGTCGTGGATCTTAGTCGTAGGCAACTATAGTGATTCCAAAAGACTCCATCCATAGACCGAACGGAACGGAACGGCTGGTTCCTTACTTAATGTAGACTCTTGAATTAATAAACCCCCCTTTGAATTGAACATCCTCTTCATATGGAGGGTTTATTGATCCAAGACGTCTTCCTTACTTGTGGCTGTGCGTTTCATCCCAGGTGACGAGGGTGGCTCCCTAACTTGGCACGTCAGGTGCACGTGCCCATCGTTGAGACGGTGCAACGGTCCGTTGAGGTGCCACAGGCCGGGAGGGACGGTGCCACAGGCCACGCCGGACCCCGCATCTAACAGACAACGCACTGGCTGCAGCCGTCCGGGCTGTCGGGTGTCGGATGTCGGATGTTGGAGGTTGGCTTCACTCGAACTCACCACCAGGTGCACTATACCACCACCATGGTCACCAGGGAAAACCACTGACACTGGCCGTATTGATTGGGGTCACTGGTATGTGCACCGCCCAAAGGCACTAGGGCTTGAAAGCCTTCGCTGCTCAGGTGGAGTATGTGGATGAAGTGATGCAGATCCCAGTGGCCAAGCAGGCTGCCAGCGCAGCACGTCGTGCGGCGCGTCGTGCAGCGCGTCGTGCAACGCTTGCAGCAAGGTCTTGCCTGATTGCAACGGAACAGCGTTTTTTGCCACATTTGTCAGGTGAAGGACTCCTACATACTCCAAAACTTCAAAACCTGTAATTACAAGGCCCAGATCTCAGATCCCCCTGAAATTGACACCAGGTGCCGAAACTCCATGTCAAGTCATCCAAGTCACGTGCCAACTGCACAGCTGGGCGCCACTCTGAAAACTCTCATCGCTGGGCGTCGCCGAAAAGGAACTGCCTTCGGAAAAGTCGAAGACATCACCTTTCAAAAAGACCCAGCGGTAAACACATCCGTAAAATACACCAACAGGTGTTACTTTTTGGTATTTTTGGGTGACCTGAGGGAGGACCCGGAATGTGGGGTACCCTATGGGAGAGCCCACAGATGTCTTCAACCTCTGTTGGCATTCATGGATACAGACCGTCTCTGCTCTCTGCCTCTCTGCATCCTGTTTTGTTTCCTTTCCGTCTCTGCCGTCTCACGACCGTCCACCGCGTCCTCTGTCGTCGTGCCGGCTCGCGCGGCGTTTTCCTGGCGCGCCAGGTGAACGTGCCAATGGTCTCGACGGTGCAAAAGACCGTGCAGGTTCCGGAAGTGCAGTACGTCGACAAGGTGGTGCAGGTGCCGGTGACCAAACAGGCGAGGGCGCTGCGCCGCTGCGACCTTCTGAACCACCGAAGCCTGTGAGCTGTGGTGGAAGCCGGTGCGAAGCATTTTGGTTGGGGCGAAGATGTTGGGTTTCGCCGCGGAGGGCGGTTTTTATTCTTTCTGCAGCTGCCGGGGGGCTTCTTGGATGGGACATGGTGTCATCACTGGAGCTTTGCTGAGCTCTGTCGATAGAGGCTTTGTAAAATGAACACAAGTGCTTCAGGAGTCCTTTCCTTGATACAAATTTGATACAGTTGGTTGGTTGAATAGATGGGGTACCCCGGTTGTGAACCACCAAGTTCGGTGACATGGACCCCTTTGGTGATGTTTTCGAAGGGTGGACATCACTCAAACTGGGAAGGCGGGCTCCGGGTCCCAGTCGGGGATCCTGTTGCGAACCCCCCGGGTCCCACCGAGCCACCGTCGCGCCGTCTCCGCGCGAGAGCGGGACCTCGGCAGGTGAACGTGCCAATGGTGACTCAGGTGGAGAAGATCATTGAGATCCCACAGGTGGAGCCCCTTGGCGGAACTGGGCCCGAAGGATCTGCGCAAGAAGCCTCCGCGCAGATCGATGGAAAAAAGAATGATGGGCCCAAAATCAGCCATGTCCTCATCAGCGCCGCGAGGAGGGTTGGATCTGGAATGATCTGGACCTTTTTTGATAGGAGTGTGGGCCTCATGATGGCAGGACCCAACAATTAAGTATCGAGATAGAGGATATGAAGCGATTTCGCATTTGGTAGGGCTCATCCGAGATGATTTCAGTTGCCCGAGACCGAGCGACCGGGGAGTGTCTTCAACTGAGCATAAGGAACATGTTCCTATACCCTAGACTTCCGTTCGGCCATTCAACGACCTGGTTTTTGTAGTGTAAAATCCTTAGTTGATTCGGGATTCAGCCTATTAAACTAATGGTGGTTGGAAGCCTATAGGGATCATGTAACCTACTGGGGGTCGACTATATACTTCTTGGTTAAAGAGTGCCCCCTAAACGCAAAGCAAGACCGCTCCCCTTCTCCAGATGCAGTGTATTCTGTGCTTCAACTGTATTCTGTGCAAGCTCGGTAGCTTCCAATCTATGGCTCGGTACCCTGCAGCGGCCTTCAGTGCGTGGTACCTCTGAGAACTTCCGCCGTTCGTGTCTGCTTGAGACAGACCTAATTATATCCTGGGAGTCGGTCAGACTATAAAAAGAATGGTCTGACGAACGGTGACCCGAGTCAAGTGTTCTTTCCTTTACTTCAGTCGGTCAAGACATATAGTCGAACTGGACTTCGTTCGGGTATAAGTCCTCAAAAGGGTGATGCCGAGTTCGTAATTTCCCTGAACACTTGAAGTTCAGAATGTGCCATGGAAACATCCTCGAACTCGACTTTGAATATACCTGGACCCTCCAAAGTACTTTAGAAAATGGGACATGACCCGCATAAAAACAAGTATACTTGTACCATTTTGTACCCATTTTCCGAGGTACGAACGGGTCGACTCCAGGTGTATTTTGTCACCGTCTGAGGTACGTGGACAAGCACGTCCACATCCCCGTCCAGAAGCATCGATCGGTGGTGGTGGAAGTGCCCGTGGAGAAGCCCATTGAGGTGAACGTCATCGAAACCACCGAGAAGGCGCAGCAGGATCTGACGGAAGCCCCCCAAACATGGTGGAGTGGAGCATCATAGCCGTTTGGACTCGGCGTTTTAGCTTTTTCTTCACATGTTGTAGGTGGAGTGGAGTACATTGGAGCACCTTTCATCTACATAATTCCTAAGAACCAGCACCAGCCAGTTCGGGTGGCGATTGGAAGGAACACTGCAGGTTTGGGGTGTTGGTTGACACCCCTTTCATCCCTGGTAGGTGGCCGAAACTTCGTGTCCAGGTGATTCGGTCACGACAGGTGTGACACTGACACTGCATACTACCACCCCCCCCCGGCAGAAGATACGCCAAAAGAAACCGTGATAGTTCAGTTCCGTGCTTTCCAAGAATGATCCCAGGAACTGAACTATCCAATCTATCCAGTCGCTACCAAAATCGCCCCAAACATGTATAGGTCAATATGCCACAAATGACGTGCCTCAAGTGTGTCATTACTTTGAACAAGCAACAACCAGGCCTAGCAGTCTCAAACCCTCCTTGAAGGTCCAGTTTCAGCAGCCTTTTTTGAATTGATTCACTTCTGCAGAGGCTTTGTCATGCCCCTTGTCACGCCCCTCCCATCCCAGGCCGGCCTTGCCGAGAGACGCGTCGAGACGCGAGACGCGGGCGTGGTCAGCGCCGTCAGCGCCTCCAGGTGATTGATGTGCCAGTGGTGAAGCAGATTGCAGTGCCGCAGGCGGGGCAACGACCCGGGTTTTTGAGACAAGACGTTCCGCCGACGGTGACCAACAGAGGTGGGTTGAAGAACCCGAACGTTCGACGATCCCAGTTCGGTACCCCAGGTGATGGGTCCTAGTTCAGGTCACTGGCTACCTCTCTTGGTAGGTCTCCGATTTTCTGGCTCTTAGAGACTAGATCTGGACGACCGGAAGGGGTCGCAGAGATGGGAATGGAATTCCTTCGGTTCGGAGCGACCGGACGCGATCGGACGCGATCGGGGGCGCTACGGGGGCGCTCCTGGCCATTCCTCGCGACTCGAACGGAACAGCCGGGGCATCGTGACAGCGATCGGACGCTACGAGGATATATATATATAGCTCATTCCTTTGTCAGGTTCAGACCATCGAGAAGACGGTCGAGATCCCCTTCGTGCAGGCGCAGATGCCGACCGGTCGTTGGCCCTGGGGGTCGGACCGGGTCGTTGGCCCTGGGAATTCCACCATCACCGAAGTCGTGGCCCACCATTTAGTTCAAAACGTCTTGGAATACCGGACAACCCTTAGCTCTATGGATCTTTTAGACTGGATTCCACAGATGGTGGAGTTGGGGGAAGCAACCCCTCCGAAATCGGCTTCCCGAACGCGGTGTTTACAGAACCCCGAACGCCGACGCCCCGAACGCGGTTCTTTCGCCTGGCCGCCTCTCATCGCGCTCCACCGGCCAATAGGTGGTGGAGAAGGTGGTGGAGGTGCCTCAAGTGGGTTCCACCACCCAGGGCAGTGTGAGGGAAGAGCACGTGCCCACCGAGACCAAACGCCCCTTGGCGACAGGTGGGCGATGGCGACCGGTCGTGGATCCTCCATGTCCGCCGTTGTTTGTATGGCCTATGTCCCAAATGAACCATTCTATCATATTCTATCACATTGTATCACGCTACTGTAAGGCTGCCAGGCTTAATCAGGTTCTTTTTACCAATACACACCTATATAAGTTCAGGTCAATCTGTCAACGGCGAACGCCGGAGCTGTCGGTCCCTTCAGTCTCTTCGATCGCCGTGGGGTGGTCTTTTGCGGAGACGGAGGTCGGTTCGATGCTGACTAGTCATCATGTGCATAAGCACCATAAAGAGAACAGAATACAGAAAGAGCAGAGAAAGAGATCGAAAGAGTTTGTCTTTTTCGATGGCGCTCCTCTGTAGATATACTCTATCCATCTCTATCCTGAACACCTCGCCGTACTTTTTGCCCGATTTTCTCAGGTTGAGGCTGAGGTTGGTGAAGGTGGGTTCCCTGGGAGTCGAGCAAAGCGGTCTTTTATAGGTGATCCGAAAAGGACTTTCCTTGTGACTTTCCTTTACTTGAGTGGTGCACATAATTTAGACTTCTAGTGAGTTTGGAAGACGTCTTCGCGGCGTGGGCGAAACGCCCCCCGTGCGTCTCTTTGGAGGATCGGGAGGGCTGTGAGTCGTGAATCGACCTCCAAGGCGAGGAGGCGCCAGCTCAAGTGGTGCAACAGGCGTGGCCACACAAACGGCATGCCGCCGAGCAGCTGCTCCGCGCGCACGGGGCGGCACAGCGCGGGGATGAGCAGTCAGGGTGAGAAACTGGTGGAGTTTTGCGATCCTTGAATGATTTTGGAATCGGGGAAGCTGAGGGGTGCGTCGACTTGGCCTAATTTTCTCCAAGTCAGCAGTCAAGAAGTCCAGCTTATGACTGCCAGGTGGTGGTTTTTGGATGGGCAGCGCAGTTCATGATGTGAGCACGACAAACCTGGAACTGCGGTTCCCAGCACGCTTTCCACTTCAAAAGCCATGCTTGCGCAGTTCATCGTAACCATCCATCCGCTGGTCTGTGCTGCTCACCACCCGTTCGAAGCATCGAACACCTTAAGGCCTTAAGGATTAAGGACCTTTCCCCTCCCCACTTGGTCCTCACGCTCCGAGCACCTTTTCTTTTTCTTTCTCTATCTCCGTTTTTCCGCGTTTTCTTCGTTCCGTCCGGCTCCGGCGACCGGGCCGGACCAGGTCTTGGCCGGTCCGGCTCACCCGGTGGAGTACGTCACGGAGGAGGCGCCCGCGCAGGAGCCGATTCAGACCGGAGCATGAGCCGCGTCCGGTCTCACCGGGTGACCGGACCAATGACGGGCACCCACCGGGAAGGCCGGTGGTGTCCAGCGCCTCGGCGGGCGTTTGGTGGGGGGGGGAAGGCTGGCTGCGTGGTGTCGACTGCGTGGTGTTGTTCTCGAGCCGGCTCATAGACCATCATAGACCCTTCTCCAAAGGCAAAGCTGAAAGTGACATAAAGTGACTGAGTGAAGCCAGTAGAAGATGATCATTGTTGAGAGGTCGGCCCTGACTACCTAGAGAGGTTGAAGAGCCCTAGAGGTCCCAAAGCAGGTCTCTCAACCTCTCGAAAAAGAAGTCCGAATCCTCTGGTCAGTCCTCGTGTGTTGATGGGATACGCCCGTTGGGTCTAAAAATTAAGGGAGGCTTCAGCTGCGGAAGCTACGCGGGAGCTAGTAGTTGGAGTTAGTAGTTGGAGCTCGAGGTGAATGTGGGGGGTGAGGGGCCAGGGAGTGGAGTGAGTGGAACATCTACCGCCCAACTCGACAGGTCTGAATCAATGGAGCCTGACACACACTGGCCTTCCTCCTCTAAATGAAAGGGATCTAACATGATGGTCGCAGTGACTGAACATAGGTGATCTTTGATGATGTTTGTGTAATTTTGATATATATATATATATTATATAATATATATATATATGTGTGTGACACACACTTTCACGAACACATCACGTAGAATGGAACATGGCCCCATTGGAAGACTACTTTCCTTTATGTACCACTTCCATGTTGAATTGGGAGGGATGAGCGGTTCCATCTCGCAAGTTGTCCGCCTGGAAGCGGGACACGTACTGAGGCGTTTCATCCCTCATTGAGTTTTCCGCTGCTGAGGGGTTAGCCTGGCCATAGGGCAACAGACACAGAGACGAACATGTACATTAAGCGGTTCGGGGCCAAATGACATGGCCAAAAACTCTTAAGGAGCCGGCAATCTTTTGGATTGCAGATCCACGGTCAGCCAGATGCAAAGCTTTTTGAGAGGAACTCTTGAGAGGATATGGTCTTGTTTTGTGTTGTTCAATGCTACTTTCTCCAAAGCAAAATCTACTGCTCAACGGCTACTGCTTCAATGCATCTGTGGTGGACAGGCGACGGTTTGCTGGCAGGCCCCTATCGCTCTATTGTTTTCCATTCAATGCCGAGAAGTTTTGGAACTCCGAAAAGGACTCACCGTGCGCGACGAAAAACACGAATCCGCCAGCGATGGTGGATGCGGGTTTGCTCTTTGGGGAACTCGGCAGTGGATTTTCTGACAGGCTCATATTTGGGGGCGTGTTTGGCCCCACGAACCTCCACCATGTCATGGACACCCAGTAATTCAAGGTTTCCACTTTTCCATAACTCGTGGGAGTTTTTCAGCCACTCAGCTGGGTGAAAGCCACTCAGCTGGGTGACCGAGCCGCCTACTGTTTGGGCGCCCACCTCTGAAATCCACCGCCATTTCTTTTTTCAGCGGCCGGGGTCGGTTTTGTGGCGCTTCCTTTCGTCCGTTCAGCGGCCGCGGACGTTTGGCCGCGGACGTTCACCATCTAAATCTACCCAGACGACCCTAAGAATAATAACTACCCAGACGACCCGACTCTACAGGTGCTTCCTGGTGACAACAGGTGCCCAGAAACCAGCTGGTATACATTAAATTCGGAAGTTTCGATCAACTAATGTGATGATGGTTCTTAACAGTTAGACCATCTCAGTTAGACCTGCTGTTCCTGGTTGTTCGTATAGCTCCATGATGGTAGAAAGCCTGCATGGTCCCTAAAAGACCACACTTGTGCGGTGCAGCAGGCCCGGAGGCGGGACGTCAGGTCCACCCAATTGCTAGGGATCCACATACCCTTAAAGAAAGCTTTCTAGTAACTAGAAGCTACGCACGGTGGAGGCCATCGCAAGTAGGTTGGAGGCCAGCGCTGCCAGTCACAATAAAGAAAGGTGATGTGTTCGACACTGTTCTGTAGGCGCTACTGGAAGGTCCAGTCGTGGTACGAACCCGAGGTTCGTCCAGTCCCGGGCTCCTGAACTCCCCGAATCATAGCAGTGGAATAAACAGATCGTGACTCAACTGGGGTAGTTTTAGAAGTTCATGAGTCATGGAACTTCTGGATCGGATTTCAGTCTGTCTCAGTCAGTTCTGTCTCAGTCGGAGGTCAGAACGCCGGACTCTTACCAGCACCCGACTCTACAGGTGCTTCCTGACAGGTGACAACAGGTGCCCAGAAAGTACCTCCGTGGTCGGGTCTCCAAACAGCTTGTTGGAGGGTCCCGGTCAGTACGGGGCCTCGCCTCGCCTCGGCTCGCCGCGATCCTTCGGCCAGGCCCTACGGGCACTTTCCGCTGAGGCACGCGGCGGGTATAGGGGCCTTTGGAGGTGAACCGCGGCAAAGGAGGCAGATGGGAAAAAAAAGGAATGGACAAAGGATACGGCCAAGTCCTATGGAGACTATGGAGCCTTCAGGCGTTCTTGGATTCGTGGTCCGTCCTTTAGTAACTTAACTTAAAAGAACTGGCATCTCGGGATGGGTTGGTCTGTTCCAATTCAACAGCGGGAACCGCTCCGGGGACGTGAGTGCTTCATCATGAGCTCGCCAACAGCCGCTGAACACGGGCGATCCGGTGTCCAAAATATTTTTTCAGGTGGGTGTAGACTCTTGATTTATAACAACCACCCTTATGAAGGAGGTTTTTCAATTGGGGGGGGCAATGCCTTCTGGCATCATTCGCGGAGGCATTCCTTTGAGGTGTGAGTCTCATTTGCTTGAGTTGGTCTCTGTTTCTCTTTTCGCGTAAGTTGGCCAAACACTTCCTTCGTGGGAGTTTCCAATCGAGGCCGTCTCTGTCCTTCCTTGATGTCCTTTCACCTGTGGGGCGGGTCTTGTGTCTCCCTTGGCCACGCAGTGGGAAGCGAGTGGAACGTGTCTCACGCGGGTCCGTGACCGAGTGGCTTTTTTTTTTTTCTCAGGTGATTCAAAGGAGTCTAAAGGTAGCCATTCAGCATGTTTACAGGCTACATCTTATTCCATGGTTACATGTATGTTTACAGGCTCACAGGAGGCTCTCGGCTCTCGCTGTTTCGCAGCGGTCAATGGGCGGTCGTCGCCAGGATTGCGCCGAAGGATGGCTTCACCGACGGCCTGGCCACTGTGACCAAGGCGCGGAAAGAGACGAGAGAGTGACGCTTTGCTCGAGGACACGACCAAAGGGGACTGGTCTAGATGCACTGTGCACATTTGGAAAGCATGGTAGGCAGGTATACCAGTCCCAACTGCCAGTCCCATGGAGTGTTTGGGATAGATCTATTATCCATGGCTGTTTTGTTCCATGTTCTCCTCCTGGACCAGGAGTTAACGATTGACTCGAGCGAAAATGGATGCTCGGATTTGCTTTTCAGAACCCCTCCAGGCTTGATGAGCGGAACTGCCCTTGAATTCGCTCAAGGCTCCAAAAGCATCCCTTTCTTCTAAACACCGGCGCATTTATAGGAATAAGTTTGGATATCCTTTCAACATATCTCAACATGCATGTAGCCATTTCTTTGGTTTGGATATCCTCTCAAAACATCTTAACATGCACGTAGCCATTTCTCTGCAGGGACTTTGCTAGTGGTTTGAGTAGGTAGACTTGAGCAAGTCTCATCATCACCGACGTTGATCAAGACCCGCATCAGGTTCGGCATACGGATCTCGAAAACAACATGAGTTATTTCCAGCCAGCAAGGGTTGAGAGGTCTTGAGAGGTCGGATGACTGCAAAATGTCATTCAAAGTGAATGGAAGATGTACTCCCCCTCACGACAGACTGTCTAGATCGTATGCACATAGTATATACTAGACGAATAATACCAGGTTTCATGATATTTCTCTTTTCTCCTCCTTTCTTTATCAATTCATTTGGATTCATTTGGTGTTTTACTGTAGTTGCTTCGTCCTGCTGGTTTTCTCTTTGCGATTGACGCACTGGTCTTCCCACCTCTCGCGTGTCCTTCAGAGTCGGACCCGTGCCACCCCAGCGCCGGTCCGAGGCCACGGGCCAAGCGAAGGGTCGCTTGGGTCTGGGACTGCATGTGGCCTCCTATCAGAGCGAGGCACCCACGCACGGTGGTGGAGGTGGAGGTGGAGGGTCCCGGTTGGTGCGAGTTGGTGCGAGTGGTGGGGACCTGGTGTTTTGAAGGGAATGGTTGGCCTTTGGCCTTGGCAGATGCCAAATGTGGTGTGTGCGTGAAAGGGGTTTCCGCAGGTTTCCCTTTCTCCCACGACTTGGGTCTGTCTCACTGCAACCAAGAAGCCATGGTGGAAGAAGAACTATTTAAGATTTTATATGCACAGCTTTACAACAAGCAGTAAAATGACTTCTAGGTTGTATACCCTTCTTTATGGTTGTGTACCCCTAGAAGGGGGCTTTACAATAACCAGAAGGGGCAAAGGACTTCAAGAGAGTTTGCCCCGGCAAAGTGAGAAGTCCGTCTACAAATCCTTTGTTTGGATTTCGTCAAGTGGTTGTTGGATTTCGTCGACGGCGCCTCTCGATTGTTTCTGTCATGTGCGCGTTGCTATGGCAGCTGTGACTCGGGATGGACATGCCTTTGTAGCCCAAGTTGCAACAACCAGTTGCAAGGATTCGGATTGAAGGACGCCAGCATGTGACCCAGCTTCGAATCGAACCACCTTGCCTTTCCATGCCAACCACGCCATGGAGATGCCATTTGGGGATTGGCTTGGTCGCAGAAGTTCAGCTCCAAACTCATTTGGCAGACCGGCCACGTTCCCATTCTCATTGGTAGTTCCTGGTGTTCTCAGGTCCCGATCGCCGATGTTTCCAGCGATTCTTCGCCACAGCTTGAAGAACCCACCTAGGCGGGAGGTCTGACCTGCCGACGCAACGTCCCCAGGAAGAGGTGGCCCAGTGGCCTGTGGAACCTTTGGCGCAGGATCTCGAGGCCAGAAATCGCAGGATCGCGTGCGTGGAGGCGGTGTGTTTTCGTCCGCGTTTGGGGGGAGGAACAGCGGCCGGCCTTGTTCTTTTTTTTCCTCTCCCTCTTGGCCCAGGCCATGTCCAGCCAGCCCTGTCCGAGATGTGAGCATGTTATAGAGACGTGGAGAGACCTCCCAGTTCGACCCCCTGCAAGAAAAACCCATTCGTTGGGGTCTCCCTCAAAGCCAGAGCACTTGGACCAAGGGTCAGACATTTTTTCAGGAATCGCCCACCAATGTTCAAACCAGGTGCTGGCCCGGTTCAGCGCTGGCCCGGCTGCTTTCTTCCTAACACCATTCGTTAAAAAAAAGCCCTTCCACCGCATGACTGGAGCATCCGGATTCCCGAATTGGACTGACTGGACTGCGATCGAGGTGCAGGACATTGATGCCCACCAGTTCTTCCGCATCATCGTCAAGCGCGTGCGCTTCGCGTGCGGAGACCCCGGCCGTGGGTCGCTCGCGAGACAGGGGGCCGACCGGACCGACCCGGAGGGCGGTTGGTGCCGTGCAGGCCCAGGTGTCAACCAGTTCCTCCAATATGTTGTTCAGTTTCTGAAAAGCGTTCCATTGATGAAAGGTCAACATCACCCAGCGCACTGGTATTTTGTCTTTTCAGGGCGCCATTCTCGGGGTCCATGTTAGTTTTCGGAAGTGCATCTACTCAGACAGCCCAACAACCCATGCACTTTCCTAAAACCCTCCAGAATCAAAGGCCACTCCGTGAACTTCCGTTAGCTCGGTGAACTTCAGACATTCATGGATCGAGCCATCGTCTTATCCAGTTCCGCCATCGTCTCATCCAGTTGCTAGGTGCGAATTTCTGCTGCGCAGCCGCTTTGATGAGCCGGTGAGGCCCGAGGATGGGAGCAACCCGTGAGGATTGACTTGGAAGGCCGTCCCAACTGCACTCCGACGAACACATCACATGAAGTGGAAGAATCCCTGTTCGTCAATGAAAGTAGTCTTCCAAAAACACATGCCATCCACTTCCATGTGATGTGTCCGTCAGAGTGTCATATAAAGTGGTGGGTTCCATGCTGTTCACTCGACCCTTCAGACTGTTGAAAAGGCGTGCCCCCCTCGACCTGCTGGTCCGGCGGTCGAAAGTGCAGACACCAACGTCCAAGGGGGCCCTCAACTGAACTGCCTGGAGCGACATGTTGGATCATTTGGCTGATTCCCAGGCTTTCTCTTGCAGAAATTGCTTGGCTCAGGGGCTCCAGACGGGTTCAGCTTCGGACCTTTTATTGATGGATTGGGGGTCATGACCATGGCTTTGACCATGGCCTTTGTGCCAAGGGATGCCACCTTTGAACTCATTGGACCTCGCTAGCAGCCACGGGGTCGTTCTCCGACCTCAAAGAAGAACAGGATGTGTATTCAAGGAGGGGGACCTCCCACGCGTTTCGACTCTCCTGGAAGGTTCAGGACATAGACCGGCGCACTGATTGGTGTCCCTCCCACCCCCGCGAGACACTCCGGGCGTGGAAGGTCAGTCGAAGTCCGTGACAGATGTGGAGGGGTGAACTGAAGTGGGGTTGGTCGTCCTGCCTTCTTCCAGGAAATAGACCGGACCAAATCCAAAACCGGCCACAGCGTCGTCCGAAATAAGCCACCCAATGCGGCTGCACCAGCAGCCCTAAGGCGTGGTAGACATGGACACCCCGAATCACAGCGTCCAGGGGCTATATGGCTAGACATCCCGACAGGAGGGTCCTGGCATGTGTTTCTTTTGCGAAGCAACAACGTCTGAGCTCACGGTGTTTCCCCGCCTCCCTGCTCAGGAGATGCCCCTTCGTGGTCAAGCATGGGCCCTTAGAATCCTTAGAACCTCCGCAACGGAGGTGTTTCCTGTGACCAAGGAGCTCCACAATCTTCATCTGTGCGCCTTTGGTCACAAAGATGAAGCCGTCCTGGATCCTCACAAGCCGACTGCCCCTGGACCGCCCTGGACCTCCAAGGCTTCACCGTCCGTCCTCACCACGTCCGACCTCATCGCACCGAGGTCCTCCACGGGGTCCGTCGTGGCGAGGGGCATCAGCAGCGAGCTGGGGGTGGCGTCCGTGGAGTTGCCGATGGGGACGGGATCCGAGGGGGAGGAGGAGGGGGGAGATCTACCGAAACATACCTAAACATACCTAAACCATCCTAACCCATCCTGCTTGGGTGTGCAATGGAGATCTGACACGTAGGCTGGACTGCAGCCACGCCCGGAAAATGGATGGTCCTGGTCCCCTGGATCTTCCAATCAAAATGATCTGCCTTTTTGTGCCAAAAAGGCAGGGAGAAGGCATACTTTTTGCATAGTTGGAAGATTCAGGTGTAAGGACATTGAATATAGATTCAACATGTGTGCCAATTGGCATTGGAGATTCAACATGTGGACTCAATATAGCTGGACTATGCTGAGATTGGTGTATGCCAATGTAGATTCAATCAGCTGAATATAGGTGTTTGGTGTAAGGATCTCCAGCTGATTGGACTCAAAATGTGTTTTGGTCTTTGCCCGGCTGGAGATGCTACGACTGGCTTTTGGCAGGTGCCTTCAGTTCACATCTGATAACACCCGCGGTGAAGTATGGAATCATTCCGCTTACACATGCTGATTCTTCACCAGTGCGCCGACATCACAGGCCTCCCCCCAAAATAGGCATTCGAAGACCCATTCTGACCATCGATCTTGCCGTCCTTGAAGATCCTTTTGACCGTCCTCTCGTTGGACGATGCCATGAGGACGATGACCCTCCAGCTGGAGCCTGAAGCCACGTCGGCCTTCGCCCGGGCGCCCGTTTCGCGTGGGACGGTGACAGTTTCTCGGGCCTGATGTACAATGTAGACTCTGGGATTAATAAGCCGCCCATATGAAGAGGATGTTCCAATTCGAGGGGTTTATGAATCAGTCTACATCATTCGCATGAAGCTGCGAAGTGGTCTTTGGGATTCTTCTTTTAAATGGCAGCTCCACCAGTACCATCCTGTCTGGGTCTCCTGGAGTAGCCTCCGGTACTTAGGGATCATTGTTTGGACACCCCTAAAGAATGAAAAAGCTGGTCGTACACGAGGACCTTCCAACAGGCGGTTGTAAAACTCTAAGAGGCTATATTTATAGACACCTCTTGGAGGGTCCAGGTAGGTTGATTGAGTTTTGAGCATATTTTTTTGTTCCCCTCCCATGTTGTTCTGTCTCTTCAGCCCTCTTGGCGACTCAGGACTTCCCCGCACAATGCCAAAACGCTTGGTCTCCCTAGTCCCGCCTTGCTGTTGGGCGCGCGGCTGGAGCGCGCGCGCTGGCGCTGGCGACTGAGGTGGCCACATCCTTCGAAGTCAAGGCCGATGAGCTGGGCAGCACCGTGGGGGACTTTCCGATGGTTGTGGAACCTCTACTCACGTCATTCCGTTTCAGGGCTTGTGGAAGTCGGAAGTCCTGCCAGTTCCTTTTTTGGAGGTGGAGGTTTGGAAATTTGTTCTCCTTTAACATCCGTGCCTGCATGAAGTGCTATGCCAATTGAATCCAATTTTGGGATCGCATGACCAGATAATGCTGATAAATTAAACAGGATTTGGGTTGAACAAACTCTGCATTTGTGGCAGTCAAAGGAGGTCAAACTGACCTCTAGGGCCTGTAGGGAAAGATTCTTAACATGGCCTATGGGCGTGAGGATCTGAGTTCCTTCACAAAGGGGAGCGCAGAATAAGTAGATTCGATCGTATTTTTTCAATCGAGAGAGCGGTACGATGTTGTTTTGGAACTTGACGCATCCATCCCATATCCATCCTTTGATGGCGATAGAAGAAAAGACACTCCTCAGAATGGTCTGAAACAGAGATACGGCGCATTTCTGTCGCTATGCTGTATTTCTTTCACGAGAATCACTTGGGGATAAACCTGCTGTTTTCACTTGGTAGGAATTCAGTTTGCCATAGCTGTGACGATAACTAATCGTCTTACTTGATCTTTGGCTCAAGGTTGAAAAGGGTGCTGAAGCCACTAAAACGTGGTTATCAGCCGTATTTGGTTCTTGTGTGTTTACTTTGTTTTGGTTTGTGGTCTCATCTAGCCATAGCTGCCTCGCTGCTGCTCCGTTGCAGCTCTACTGCGGCTTGCGCCGCAGACTGGTCTGGCCTGCGTTCTGGATAGAGCCTTGTATGCCTCGTGGAGAGCGTGGGGGTAAGAAGACTAGAAAGTCTGAGGCTTTAGCAAGGGAAACCCTCGAGGGTCGACACAATCCCAAGTCAGCCCCCACTGGGTCAGCGTCGCTGGCTCGAGTGGAAAAGGTTAGGGGGGAACTTGCAGCATCGAGTGCATCAAGGGCAGTTGTGGATACAGTTGATTCATCTTCTGTTGGAGACATCACCCAGTTCTTGGTAGCACCGGCGTTGTCTGAAAATCCACAGGCAGGTTCGAGTAGTGATTCTAAGAAGAAGGCTTCACCAGCAAAGCGGCAATTGGAGCTGCCAAGGGGTGAGAGATCCCCTAAGGCCAAGGCGGTTGCTGTGGAACCGGTAAGCCCTACTGTGTCTTTGGAACTCGTACCAACGGTAGAAGCTAAGGCTGCTCCTGTGGAACCAAAGGCTACCCCGGTTGTTGCAAAGGCTGTTTCTGCGCTGAGTCCCAAGGCTGTCATCCCCAAAGCTAGGCCACGTATCTCGGATCCGGTTGTGGGTTTGTCACCGGCTGCACACATTCCAGTGGAACGAACAGCGGCGCCAAGTGCCAACTGCTTCATTCGAATCAGTGTGGATTTACACGGGGTTCTGGATCTCAACAGTGAAGTGGAGGGTCGTTTTGAACGTACTGCCCGGTCATCGTTGTGTAACTGGCTTCACAAAAGCCGCTACCACCAGGCAGGTATCTGTTCTTACATAGGCCGTGCCGGACCATCTTCTCAAGCTCGACGTCAATCGGCTGTGTCAGAGGTACATCCCTTTAACAGTGATTACCACACTCAGTTGCGATTGTTGATTGACTCGGACAAGGCTAAGCCACTTCTGAATCCAAGAACTGTCTCGATCCATATTGACGATCGGTTGGATCTCGCTTGGAAGCTTTCGGAAAGGGATTGGATACCATTCTTGTGAATCCATTTCTTTGCAGAAATCCCCATGGCATTTGCCCCCTGGTTGTGTGGTGGTGGAAGACCTCACGAAAGCCCTGGCAGGGGTGACACGTCGTGGACTGGTCCCTAAGGAATTTCCTGCTTGGCCAGGTATCTTCACGACTGATTAGGATCGCAGCTGGTCTACCCTTGCGCTTGCGCGGGAGCAGCTGACGGGGCCAAAGCGGTTGTTTTCTTCTTGGAAACTTGGTCACAAGTAGGTTGTTGGGGAGTGCATGGCAGAAGAAACCAGTTCATCCAGTCTTCATTTGACTTCAATCAGATCATCCACCAGCCAGAATTTCGGAATACCTGCACAAGCAGCCGGCAGCGAGATAGAGGAATCTAGTGATTCGACACGAAGACCCAGAAATCGATCCATCACTCCGGTGAAGAGGCAATCCAGCTCACCTTATCCTCCGTCACATCGACCCCCAAGGGGAAGGATGTTGACGGACATGGAAAGGCCGACCGCTTCCCCGGATAGTTTGGAGAGAGGGTCAGCATCGTTGTTGCCCATGCCTAGAAACCCATTGGGAAACTCCACATCTCATGATCCAGTTTCTTTTGGTCCAGGGAACTATGCAGTTCAGATGAACCGCCAAGAGAATCATGATGAAGTGATGGTTGATACTAGGGAGGTATCATCTACTCAAGCTTATCAGGATCAGAGAACAGTGAACTTAGATCAAAGGTCCATTCATTTTCAGCAGCATGTGCATGGTCCAGACCCCAACATGATTGGTGACTTGGCGGCATCGGCAGCGACCTCCGGGTTGAGAGCCGAAGCAGCTTCAGTCGTGGCTGGGGTACAGGTCGAAGCAGCTCAGGCTGTTGCACAAGCAAGGGTTGATGCTGAATCAACTAGGGCTGAGGCAATGAATGAGATTAGCAGACTAAGGGCTCAAGTGGAATACATGACCAGAGAGAATCAATGGTTTCGAGGACAGTTGCAAGCTTCGATTGCACAGAGTGAACACACAGAAAGAGCTAGAGAAACCCAAACACAAAACCTTTTATCCCTCAATGGAACGGAGATGCAAGGGATCATCCAACGACTTGATGGCCTCGAATTGCAGCTTTCCAGAGTTGAATCCAAATTGGATACCCATCAAGAGTATATCCAGGATCTTTGGACGCAGCAAGCTCCTGCACCACAAGTGTTGCAAGAAGGAAGCACGACGCCAGTTGTCAGGTTGGATAATCAGGATCCCGCTACCAGAATGCCAATAGGTTTTCATATGCAGCCGGTTGGGGAAGAAGATGATGATCAAGAGAACCCCAATCTCTTCGGTGTTGGTTGTCCTAGTAGTGTTGGTGAACCAGATGATGTGGAACGAAGAGCACTCAGGACCAAAGATCTCCATCACTTGAAGTTACCGACATTGCCGGATTCAGCGTCTCAATTTCGATCGTGGAAGAATGCTGTTCGAACCATGTTGCTGTCATATGATCATAGCCCAGAGGGGTTACTCAATGATTGGCTCAATCCAGCATTTCAAGCCCGGGGTCAACAAGCTGAATTGCTTAGAACCTCGTCAGGGGATTTTCCTCGATTGGATAGAGTTATCGCGTGTTGTGTAAGCCCGAAGCATTGAAGACCTCATTTGGTTTGAAAATTCAGTCCTACGTCGAACTGTGTGAGTCGACATCCCAACAAGTCAGAGGTCGCTACATAGTGAATTTGGTTTCGAGAGAATTTGACACTTCAGTGGCAGCAGGTGCAATCACTTCGTCATTGGAATTGTTCCAACTCCCGGTGCCTCAGGATTCAGCAGCCGCCCTCAGACATTGGCGTGATCGGGTAGTGTACATCTTGAGTCAACTCCCTGTAGGTCAAAGGCCCAACGAGGAATTGATGTCTCAGTGGATCTTCAACACACTCAAGCGCCATCCGCTCATGCGAAGGGTTATGGACAAGTATTATGATTCTTCCATTGGTTCACCCAATCGATCATTTGATGCACTATGGGAAGGGGTCGAACGAGCTTTGCTTGAGGCTCAACATGACACCAATACCCAGTCATTAAGAGATGATTTGAAACGGGGGCCGACCCATGTGAAGAAAACTCCTGCGGTGACAGCCACCAAAGGAAAGGAGAAAGGTTCTCCCAAAGCGAACCCCAAGCAAGCAGCAAGTTCTAGTTCTTCGACACAACCCAACAAAGGGACCGGGAAAAGCACAGGAAAAGGGGAAAGCAAAGACAAGAAGGATTCCGGAAAGGAAAAGCCCAAAGGTTCAGGCAGCACTTCGAGTACCGGCGGGAAACCCACCGAAACCCATGACACCCGCTGATAAGTCTAACTATCCATGCATCTATCATGCCAAAGGCAGGTGTATGAGGGGTGATTCATGTCCTTACTCACATGCAAGTACAGCTCAGGCGGCCCCGAAGGGAACATCCAACGGCCCTTCAGGCACTGCTAAGGTGGCTGCAGCTGTTGCTATTCTGGCAACTTCAGCTGTAGCGGACTCGCACTCTGGATTCTTGGAGTTTGTTGGAGATACGGGTGCCGGGGAAAACCTCGGTTCCGTTGAGGCTTTCAAGAGACAGAGTTTGAACCTCCCATCGGACTTTGTAACTACAAGTTCGAAACCTCTCAATTTCTTGACGGGGGGGGGCCACCAATCCGGAAGTACTACAGTCGGCTTTTGGTCTCGTGAATTTGATCGATTCCATCAAGCCTACCTATTGCCCCAGTGTCCGTTGGCGTTGTCAATTGGTCAGCTGTGTTCCGCCGAATCCGGTTGGACATTTGTTTGGGAACCCAATTCATTACCTATGTTGGTTCCACCGGCCACGCATTGCACCATTGACATCCAAGGGGAGGTTGTGGAAGCAGTTCGTGTTGATCACCATGTTCCAATTTTCAGGCTCTCCATCGAATGCACTCATGGTTTACCCGCCACCGATGTTCCTGTTGGGGGGGGTGATCCTGTGGCTGATTCTTCTTTGTTGCATTCCGACCATGCGCTTGGCGCTGGCGGAGCGGAGGAAGGGGTCAGTAGTTCTCATCCAGAAGGTGGGTCTCCGTTGCCGCTGCCCTCTGACCCTGCGCCTGGCGCGGGCGGAGGTGACCGAGGTGATGAGGGCCACCAGGAAATCAGTGGGGACCAGGGTGAAGAGGGGCTTGAACGGGAACAAGACGAATCAGGGATTCATCACTTGATGACTCACCTACCCAAATCGAAAACTTGTGATACATGTCAACAAGCGAAACTATTGGAAGCTCAGCACAGAAGACATCAAAACATGAATGAGAGACTTCGAGAGGCAAGAGAGAAAGAGAAACCAACTCATTACTTGGAGAAAATATCAATAGATCACATAGTGAGTAGGGATGAAATTGGCAACAGAGGAGAGCAATATACATTGGTGATTGTTGACCAATTTTCAGGATTTGTTTCTCTTTTCCCCTGCATGACCAAATCAGCAGAAGAAGTTGAGACGGCGTTGAGAAGAATGGTTGGTAAGAAACGTCCGGGAGTGGTTCAGGTTGCTTCGGATCGTGCACCAGAGTTGCGCAAAGCATTGGACAGCCTTGGATTTGCTAAGGAGCCTGCCGCACCCAATCAGCGTTTGCATAACCCCATCGCCGAATCCATGGTAAGAAATGTCAAGGGAATGACCACTTCTATTTTGCTGCATGCAGGGGTTGAACCTCAGTATTGGCCATTGGCTCAGAAGTACTTGGAGTGGGCATTCAATGTCTCAACCCCCGCTGTAGGTGAATGGGATGATGACGGACCGGCCCCCACTAGGTATGAGGTTGCCATGGGTTATCCTATTGAGTCTTTCATGGTTCCATTTGGCGCTTTGGTCTGGTACAAGAATCCTGACGTGACCACGTACTCTCCCAAGGGTGAGGCATCATTGTTTCTGGGTGCTGAACTGACGGATGGGATGCTGTTCAAGGGTTGCTACAGGGTATGGCCACTTGATGCTTTTCTGGAAGGAGTTTGTAAGGAAGTAGTCACTAGGTCTATTGCCATTCCTGTTGGTGACTGGAGGTTTCCAGCCAAGACCAAGGATAAAACCGCTCCTGCTGATGACTTCGAATATGAACCTTCTATCCTTGAAGACAACCCTGCAGATGAACCTATCTTTGATGATATTGTAGAAGAAGAGCAGGATTTGTTTGGAGAAGAAGAGAAAGACAGTAGTGTACCTGACAAAGGGATCAAGATAAGAAGAGGAAAGATCACAGAACTTCGCATTGCTTCTTATGGTAAAACACCGGGATGTGAAGGATGTAGGACTGGGATTTCCACGGCTCATACTCAGGCTTGTCGAGATCGGTTTGATGAGTTGTTGGAAGGCGAACCAGTCAGAAGACGGAAGACGGCCGAGCCTAAGCCCGCCAAAGACATTATATGGTCATTGTCGATTCTAGTGGAACTAAGTTCCCGGTCATGTGGAGTGCAAAGAGGCAATCATGTGTAAGCCGTTCTACAACGGAAGCAGAGATCGTGTCGGCTTCTACCATGATCTTCGATGACGGTATTCCCGTCGAATCAGTACTAGAGCTTGTATTGGGTACAGATGTGCGAACCGTGCTGAAAGAGGACAATTCGGCAGTATGCCAGATTATCCGTAATGGGTATTCCATCAAATTGCGGTCATTGAGCAGAACTCATCGAATAAGTGTGGCCGCTTTGGCCGAAAGTGTCAAAATGGGTTTGGTAGAAGTAGAGCTGTCCCCAACACGAGAACAGCTAGGAGACATCTTCACCAAGGCGCTATCAAGACCCAAATTTCTTTTGGCTCGGGATGCAATCATGGTGTGCCTGTGTCCTGTCTTGTCTAAGGAAACCTGACGACTAAGGACAGCACTCAGGATCCGTACTAAGGTCGAGAGTCGTAACTTTGTGTCGAAACTTCGTAAAAAGTAAACCCGTTTTCCAGAGGTTTGACCCAGCGCTTGCGCGGGCTAACTGAGGATTGTTTGGTTGACGTCTTCCTTGTCTTTAAGTTCTTTGTTGGTTGCGGCCTTCGTCTGCTTGCGGCGCCTGGCACTTTGCAGCGGCGCTTTCTGAGCCTGTACTTTAATTTTTGTACCTTAGTATCTCCCTTGTGTAGTTCCTTTTAACTTCCTCAATCGTCTGCTCTACAGAAGCGTGCATACGCAAGCCTGGCTGGGGGGTTTGCATTTGCACGAGGCGTTGCACCAAAGCAGTCGTTTGAGGGGGGGACGAGAATCACTTGGGGATAAACCTGCTGTTTTCACTTGGTAGGAATTCAGTTTGCCATAGCTGTGACGATAACTAACCGTCTTACTTGATCTTTGGCTCAAGGTTGAAAAGGGTGCTGAAGCCACTAAAACGTCTTTCCTTTTACCCTCCCCTCCAGAAACAGGTGTTTTCACCTTGTGAGTCGTTTTCTCTTTCCGTCCCAGCTACGGTCCGCACGCTTTGGCTTCATGAGACGCTACCAGGCTTGAGGAGAACCAGGTTCGATCAACATGAACGGCTGTTGGTTGTACTCAACCAGCGCTTCGTTGCAATGTGGAAAGAAACGATCTGATCTGACACTGGCACTACTTTGTTGCACAAACGCATCATTATAGAAGTGGGGGGGCCGACTGGGGGTTGCTACCATTTTTGTGGTCGCCAAGCATTCTTTGATCGTTCCAGAAGTATCTGAAAAACCAGAGATCTCCCTAGTTTCATGCACAGCCCCTTTGAACGATTTGGAACGTCATGTGGTTCTCCATGTGCAAGGTCAATGAGCAAGGGGACTTCATGCCGCTTCGACAGGAGGCAGATCTAAACAAGCGGTTTTTTTGCCATGACTTGGTGGGTTTCTTCTTGGTGGAGCTGCCGTGAAAGAGACAGTTACTGTATCTCTTCTCTTTTTTTGATTCTGGGCAGGGTTTTAGCTGACCCAGATGATGGACATTTGATTGCACCTGAAGATTCACTTTAACTTTGATGACGCCCCCAACATCAAATTGATGTCGGGAGCCGTCATGAAAGTTGGCCCCAACCTGGCCAAACTTGCCGCGGATGGGCGGGTGGGACCAGTCAGACGCGGGGACTGCGAGCGCTTTGGTGTTTGGTGGCGGAACAGTTGCAACCGTGCCCGATTCCTTTGATGTTGCGTGCTTCATCGCCTGCAAAGAACGTGTAAGTCAGAAACAAATGGCGCTCTCCTCCACGACGCTCACATGGAACCTTCATGCGAACCAACCCCAGCTTTGCGGAGCGTCCCCAGCTTTCTGTCGGTCTCCTCCGTCCATGTCGGTTCCTAAGGAAGGGATGAGGACAGTTTTCTGGTGGATGTTCGAGATGTTCCGGTGTTTTTGTTGGCCCCATGGATGGCCCTCCTTGGCACCTGTTTGAACATATATTTTGAGCATCTATTTTTGATATATATTTGACCATATTCATGAACAGACGGGATAGCCCCCAGTGCACAACCAATATAGGTACCGGTAGATGGTATCAAATGGGGCCCTGTATTTCTTCCAAAGGGAGAGCCCAATGGATGGCCTTTCAGAATCTTGCAGAATCTTAAACCACTTTAGAAGTCCAGTTCAACTACCATCTAAGTGAAATACCATTCGGATTGCTTAAGGACCATGTTAAAGATTCCCTTGGACTTCCAGGGAAAGTATCAATTCACTGCGGGCTTTGCCACCATTCTTCTTATTCGCAGGTTGGCCCTTCAAGTCAGGTGCCCAGCGCAGTCATGCGACAGTCAGATGACGCCGTCGGATCAGTCCAGGTCGAGACGAAGTCGGTGAATGTCCATTTCAGTCTGATCACGCCCGATGGCGAGCCAGTCCGGTGGCCAAGAGGAGGAGAGGAAGACTCTGGTTTGTCATCAAGGAAGAGGTCCGGAAGCTCCGCAGCTGTGTGGTAGCGAGACTGCAAACAGAGAGAGAGAGAGAGAGGGAGGCGGAAAGAAAGAAAAGAAAGGATAGGAAAGGAACGGAACAGAAAGGAAAGAAAGAAAGAAAGACCGACCACTACGAGGGAATATATACTGTATATATAGAGTTTGTTGATTCTTTTGAATTCATGAAATCATTGACACATCATCCAATGTCATCTGCTCCAAAGACATGCTCCACCAATTCGTCTCCCCTCATCTCCCCGTTGGTCGCCGAGGCTCCTCACTGCGACTTTGAGCTGAAGCCTCGCTTCGCGCCCGACGGGACGGCGGCGGAGGCCTTGAGCCTTCGTCCGGAAGCGCAGGGGACGGTGCCGAGGTCGACGGGGAGACGGCCTCGGTGCCGAGGGCGGTCTCGGCGGTGCGACCGAGACATGTGACTTCGGGGCAGTTCACTTCGTTTTGGTCGCTCTGGATTCGCCCAGCCCACGCCCTATAGGTTCCTTTCCTTTCGCTTCCGGAGGCGGATGGAGGTGTCGATTTTTTGGGATTTCAGCCACTTTTCCAGAACACACCCCAAAGGCCGTGGTTACAGACTCGGTTTTCACCGAGCCGGGTCGGTCCGCTTGCGGCCCATGCACCCGAAGCAAGCACCACAAAGACACGGTCGTGGGTGGGTTTTGGGGATGAAAAGGACACATGCATGCAGGGATTTGGTGTATCTATGACGCACCCGAGCTGGGTGCTGGTAGACTCTTAGTTGGTCCCTGAAAGTCGAAGCACCATTGATTTAAGAACTTTATAGTTTTATAATCTTTATCCGTTATCCCGTAAAACCAAGCTGCGTTACTCAAGGATATTTACATTACCGTACAGAACCAGATCAACCATTTAAAAAAGGTTTTTGACTTCCAGGGTTATTAGAGTGATGAACATGCAACATTTATGCCCTGATGCGCGCGTTAAATGTCAGTCCCCTGACGGTAAAGCCATGTACAACCTCTTCAGGCCTGGGGGGTGTTGAAATCTAATCAGACGTCTACATTACACTTACCCTCACACATCACCATCATCACATGGTTCCGTGGAAGTGGAGATGGTGTTGTTGTGAAGGACGGTAGTGGACACCCCATGGGACTGGCATATATGCCTACATATGGCGTGGTTTCACTTGTCAATGTAGGCAAGTATATACCAGTCTCATGGAGTATGTTCTTCTTTATTTTGTTTGGAGAAAGTCTCCAGGCCCCTGGCAGCCTTCACCGCCACTCACTCCCACCGCCGCGCCGACGGACGCGCCTCCTTTTCATCAAGTCTAGAGGGCGGTGCTGGTGTTGTTGGTGAAGGAACAGGAGCTGTGAGATGCGGCAGTACAAGGCGATGAGACGTTGATGCGCCTCAAAGTCCCAACCCATCGAGGAACTGACCGCAAGCTTCATACATCTGCATACCGAATCCACTTGGATTACTTTGATTTTTGTTTCTTTTGTCTAGTGTCGACACGTGTGACCCGATGCAAACGGGACCGCGACTCAAATATCGTGTTTTTGTAACAAATGCCACGTCGGGCGCAGGACCAAACACCTCGGGCGATGTCTAACAACCTTCACGTCCAAGGCGGTGCCTCTTCGACCCCATCTTCCAAGAGAGGTTAAGTGACCCGAACTAGGACCCGTCACCTGGGGGACCTATGGTACCTATATGGGATAGTCGAACGTTCGGGTCATGACCCACCTCTGTTGGTTCCATAGCACCCGAAGAAACTCGCGTCAGATCCTCGGAGCGGCACGTCCCCACTCGTCGTCCCTCTCAGCCCCCGTCTGGGACCGAAGCCATGATCACTCGAGCGCCGGATGGTGCCATCGTTTGGGCGGGGTCGCCCCAGGCCGGGCCGGGACATCATCCATGGTGGACATATTGACGTACCTTATGGCCCTCATATGAAGATGAAGATCTTAAAACCTTTTGACACCAGCCGAAGGAATGCGGGTAATATATATATTCCATATAGATCGATTAAGTGTGGGTATGGTGCAGTGCCATTGGTCGTGGCGGGTTCATGGCGCCGTCGACTGGCGTCATCCCAAAGAGTCGACCGACCGGGAAAGAGTCGACCGCGCGCGTCCTTCGTGATAGACACAGTGAAGAATGTGAAGAATGGGAATAAAAAAACAAAACAAGAATTGGAATGAACGAATTCACTTCCTACTGCATCGATCTGTACTGTACTGCAATAATGATCTGTACTGTACTATATATATGTTGTTATTTTTTTAATGACCTTTGTTGTTGTCGTCGTCGTTACGCCGCAAGCCGCTGGCCAGGCGGGCATGCGTGTCACCGCGCAGCCCGTGCACACGCGGGGCATTTCCCTTGTCTACGCGCGGAGCGTGTCGCCGCCGGCTAATGGACGGAGCGGCAGTCCAGTGCAGTGGGTGCCTGGTTGGAGCCCACATGAAGGCAAGGTGGGTCGAGTGGGTCGAGTTGCGTGGGGAGTCCCACCATTTTTCAAACGGTCGGAACGCCTCACCGAGTCGAGGAATTTGGACTTGAGGGTGCAGTGGGTGCCCCACGTCCATCGGTCGAACTGGACTTCGGCAAAGGGTGCTGGGGAGTGAACCTTGGAATTCTGTTTGATGTCATGTAGATCATTTGGGTCTGTCCATGTCTGTCCCAACTTACCTGTAACAGTCAATTACACAAGAACATCACTATTTTTGGACAAGGCCCCTACTAGCCATCATCATCCACTGTTTCAGGCAATAGGATAACAGGATAGACCCTAGAACGTCTCTTCTCACGCATGTCGGCTCGCGGGTCGTGAGCATTTTTGGGTTGACAGAGCCTAGACCAGCAGGCGACGACGATGAGAGTTCCTAGGGATTCTTGAGGCACCTGCCTTTGGTGGCCTGGTACGGCCACCAGAGTGGCAGTTCCCTCCCGGGCGCCCCGAACTCGTCGACCGGGTCAGTGACTCCCGCCACCCGCCACTCATGGGGGATCTGCAGCTCGAAGCCCCGCCAAGAACCTGACCGCCGCCCGCAATTCTTGGGAGTGAATGCCATGAGGAAAGCCAGGGGAACGCCTCCAATGGAAACGCTGGACGCCGGACGTCATCTAGAAACTGGATGGACGTCATCTAGAAGCCGAGTTTTGATGGAGGATCCTCCATCAAAGCCCAATCAATCCTGGTGGGGGAGTCCTGGTGGTTCCCTGGGAGTCCTGGTGGCTCCCTGGGATGTCCGACTCGGTGATCCAGTCAGTCTGGACTTCGAAACTGGGGGGTTTTGGTCGAAATCCGGGACTCTCAGGAACCGCCTCAGGAACCGCGTCTCACAAGAGACAGCGATGAGAACAGCGGTGACCCCGTGACGCTCCAACATGGTCCATGATGTGAGTCGTTTTCCAAGCGTCACATGACCGTCATATGACGGTCAGTCCAACGATCGTATGACGCCGCATGACGTCGACCTATGCGGTGCCTTCTGCCCTGCACAACGATCACGCCACGCATACACCCGAAACCATCATGAAACCAACTCACATGTTCGGAAACACTTGAGTCCATCGACAACAGACCCCAAAGGCCCTACAAACCCATGAATTTACACCATATTTTCATATGATCAGGTTGGTTTGAGCCGATTCTGACTCCTCAGACTCCTCTAGGCCTGAGCTCCCGCCCCCCTTGGCTTTCCCACGCCGCTAGGCCCGCCAGGTGCGCCCGCCGTGGGGGCCCCGCTCCCGGGCGGCGAGCTGTTGGGGGCAGGCGGGGGGCGTCGTTGGAAGGGTCAGACGGTGTTTGACCAAGCGATGGCCTCCACCCTAGGAGCGATGGTCCTAGTAGCGGCCTCCACCCTAAGGAGATGGGGGGGGAGGAACTGAAAAGCCTCTTGACTCTTGACTGACTGGTGCGACGGGTGGCTGCGAGTGGCTGGATCCGGAACCTGTAGTGGGGGGGCAATGACTCCGACACCCGTCAGCCTCGCACCCAGTCAGTTGAGGTTTGTAGAGCGCACTACCCTGGCAGCGTAGAGGGTGGTTTTGGTATGGAAAGTTTCCACATGGGGGATTTGCTATTCTATGAAGCATCCGACCTGGATGGTGCTGGTGTAGAATGGTTATTATAGTCAGTATTATTTTGGGGAGGTGTTCAGGCAGAAATCAGAGCTGGCGGATTGCAGGACGCAGACCCAGTCATGCGTTCTGATCAGGGTTCCTTCGGTCTAAGAAATTCCTCAGCAACAGATGAACTCCCAGAATTCTTCTGCTCGATGGCCATGGCCATGCCATGCCCTTGTCGGGGACCCAGGACACTCCTGAACAAAAAGAACCAAAATCGATACCAGGGGGTCCACCGATCCTTTTCTTCTCGGCTAAGGGGTCTGTGTTTCTTTTTCCTCAGCGCTCACCATCCACACCCCATCTCATCCCATCTCCCTTCATTGACTATTTCTGTGACTCAATGAATTCAACCGGGGAAATCCACCCTGAATCTTCAACTTGACCCTCCAACTCACGTTCCATGGCACCACGTGGAACACCACCACGTGGAACACGGTTCAGGAACATGGTCTGCCTATTCTCGGGGGCACCTGCCATGCCATCCACGGTCACCATTCTGATTCTCTTTGTCACGAATGCATCGTGACTCTCGTCTCGAGGCGGAGTCGCGCGCGGCACTCGCGCGTCGCGTCGCGTGCCTCTCGTCGCGCCAGGCAAGACGTTTGGGCCCAGTGATGCCCAAGGCCGAGTGCGGTGCCGGTCGACCGTCCTGGAATGGGCCAAGTCAGTGCGACCCAGTCAGTGCGACGCTGGAGATATCAAACGTGCGAAGCTTGTCATCTGGAGACGGAGAGGTTTCACAATCCATGTTCATACTCTGAACCCGGGGGTTCAAACAGAATCAAGAGTCAGCAAGCCGTGCAAGCTTCTGGAGAGGAGATCAGTTGGGTCTGTCTTTTTGGGGGTCCTACCCAATATGGACAAATCAAACTTACGCCCCCCCTGAGAAAGCTTCTCCATCCGGTGACAGGATGGCTGTCATTGGTCAGCCTTGTGTTTGTGTTCACCTTGTGATCACTGCATGGAGGCCATTGCAAGCCATCCATGTATCATCCAGTCATCGATGTCGACTGCGTGCGATTGCTGAAGCCCTCAAGAGGGCCAAGACATTGCTTGCAGCCATGCAAGTGCTCTGTGATCTCTGTGTTCATGTTTTTTCAAGCTCGATATGTCTGAAAGCCATGTGAAGATCAATGTCGGTGGTGAGAAGTTCATCGCTGTGCGTCCCGATTTGTTCAACGTGGCGGGTGAGAACAAGCTTAGCACGGTGTTCTCTGGCCGCTGGGAGACGCTGCCCGGATCAAAGACAAGCCTTCAGCTTCTATAGATGTCAGCTTGCGAGTCCTAAGACCATTCTTAAGAGTGTCTTTAGATGTTCCGAACAGGAATTTCAGGGATTTCCTTTCAGTTGGGTGCTGTCACAAATGCTCTTTGGACTTCTAGTGTGTATAAATATATACACCTGCGTATTAATACCTACCTACCTACCTACCTACCTACCTCCCTACCTACCTACCTTCCTTCCTTCCTTCCTTCCTTCCTTCCATCCATCCATCCATCCATCCATCCATCCATCCATCCATCCATCC